GTTTAATACTTGCTAAACAGGCTATAGTTGGTTTTTTTTTTTTTTTTGCTGAAATGTTTCAGTCTCACCAAACAGCCAAAGAGGACCACTCCTATATTTATTTACGTCCGATGCCATGGGTTTTAAGGTCTTCCTCAAACCACGGGACGGTGACGACTGAAACTGATCCTTCCTGGCAGGTCATGGAATGATGCAAAAAAGTCCCGGTCGTATTGAAGACGAATTCAGATTCCAAAAGAACAGTTACTGTCCGCGCTCTTGTCTGTAGATTTCCGACGTCGAAGCTGAGCCTGGGTTGACCGATGCGATGCAATCATCGTGGTAATGCAATCATTGTGGTTATCAAAGATGATGAATTTCTTGGAGAAGCTCTTCGATCACCATGATGTCGAAGAAGATATTTATTGGTCTATAAGGGCAGATCATTGAACCATGAAGTTGAGTGGGTTCGGTGTCACGGTCTTGGCAATTGGGTGTGTATCGTGCAAGACCTTGTTGATCATTGATGTTGATATTGTTCAGGATGCAGGAGGAAGGATCCATCGGAGTTGTGGGCAGACGATGACGACTAACAGCAATGTTAGTGGGGCTGGGAGTGACTGACTTGATGCTTGGAGTTGGACTTGAGCTAGAGAGGCTCAGGTTGGATCTGGTTGATTCGTGTAGACAAGTTCAAGGTACGAATGGGCGACGGATGGCACAGCACACATGATAAACACGCCCAGAATTCAGGTTCACTCCACACGAACACTATACTAGTTCAGCCGGTAGCCCCCAACTTGTTGTAGAGAGCTGTTTACTTCTTTTTACTGGTCTTCGGCTTGGCTGCTGCCTTCTTAACACCCGCTGTTGCCTTGGATTTCTTGGCCTTTTTGACTCCCCCGGCTTTGGTAGCGCGTTTCTTAGCTGCTGGTTTCTTAGCGGGCTTCTTGGCAGAAGCTGCCTTCTTCTTACTAGCAGGCATATTGGAGTAGTCGACGTAATACCAATCAGTACCAAACGAGAGGAAAAAAATGCACCAAAACTGGTGACCGTTATTGTTCTATGGGAAGGTCCGTTCAGTTCAGCGCCGAATTTTGAACTGGCGTGTTTATTATGATCACCGAAATATTATAATAAGGGGACGCTACTACAACTTGCATGACGCTACGGTTTGGAGGTCAGTCATTTGTTGTTTACTTGCAACTGGGGAACCTCTTTTGTTCGTTGATATTGTTGACCGTACACACGCGCAGTGGCCTCCCTTGGAGATTACAGCGTCCTTGGGAAGCATGGACAACGAGTCATGGATTATAATGGTAATTCAGTTACGAAGGCGAGCGGTGGTGCGGCGGAAACCAAGCGCGGAATATTTTGGGCGGGATTGCCAACCGACATTTCCATATGCTATTTATTTGCCCGCACGGGTGGTTTATGAGTGTCATAGTGCTGGCAGTTCTTTTGAATTGAGAGGGTTTGGGTTGACGGTTAACAATTGATTGATGGATTATGAAACTGTGGGGCTGATATCGACTTGGATTCCAGAACAAACCGAGTGAAAATACAAGAAAAGTGTACGGAAAATGAAATTATGGTTGCTCTTCGAAGTAAACGATTTGCAACGAACAAAAAATATCTGGTATATCACATTTAATGAAGTAAATGATGATTATACTCTTCGAAGTTATTGCTATAAACGAAATATGGATTTTTTTGGTGCATCAAAGAGATCGACATTATGGAACCTTATGGTTTAAGCATATGGACTCGATCACTCGATGTAATCGTTGGTTTCATTTTGTGAAGAAGGCCAATATCATGCTAGAGCTTACTGTCCTGTATAATGCAGCAGAAGTTGTGAGTCGGAACATGGGCGTCGCAGGGGCCGGGGAGGGGGGGGGGAAGGAGCCGCCCCCCGGAAAAAGGGGGGGGGGGATTAAACAAAAATAGAAATGTATTCGTGCATGCCAAAATCATCTGCAACCCCGCCATCGCTCCGATTTACGAAAGTGCCAATTAAAGTGCATGGGTAGAAGAAAACCGTATGAAACATATTTGAGAGGCGTATGAAAAAGATTTTTTTTAAGGAAAAAGGAGGGCAAAATGTAACGAAAACAACAGCTGTTTCAGAATATGTACTCCGAAACAGCTTTACAAAAAAAAAGGAAAAAGAGGTGCGAAACAATATATTGCTGTTAATTTGATTGGGGGGGGGGGGGGGGCAAATGGTCCCCTGCCCACGCTCGGAAAAATGATAAATTGTGAATATGTTGAAAAAATTTAAGGAATTTTTGGGGAAAATGTACTTTGCTCCCTGGAAAAATCCTGGCGACGCCCATGACTCGGAAGTCGTATACGCATGGGCGTTGCCAGGATTTTTTCTAGAGGGGGCAATTAAAGCACATTTCCCCCGAAATCCCTGCACTTTTCCCAGCATATTCTCGATTTATCAGTAATTTCGAGGGTGGGCAGCTATAGGGACATTATACCCCCAACCCATTAGATTCACATCATTATGACTCCGCGCCTCTTGTTCTCCCCCCCCCCCCCCTTTTGGTCTTATTATTTTTTTGCTTTTTTCCCTTGCCCCTCCCCACCCCTGGCGACACCCATGCGTGTATACGGTGGGGAGGCCCCGGATATGTAGTTGGACTTGACTGCACATATCTAACCGGCCCGCCGACGGCCGTATGACGGTAGCTCACTATTTTGCTGTCAAGTATACATCCCATAATAGGCCCTATATATTATCGTGACGGAAGTGATCATTTATTCGTCTGATTTTACCAGTGCCGAAGCCTCATCAGTTTATTAAAGTAGTAATCTGTTCTCCCTTTATAGACCCTGGAGGTGACGTGAGGTGTTCATTTCTTGGCTCTTTGGGATGTTAATGGTGGTGAGAGGGCGTTATGTTCACATACCCTTGAAAGTCAGGGATTCTGCGCTCCATACACATTTGTTTTCCCGGCTCATAAGAAAATGTTACATAAAAAACTGCAGTTTGTGTGTTATGTTTCTGTTTAAATTTTTAAGTCAAACAAAGAATTTGTGTGGAGAGGGCTTTAAACCTGCGACCTCTGGATACCAACTGAAATATCCAGACATTATCTTGACGCCTGGCGGTTCCCCATTTGTTTATTATATTAAAAAATATTCTTTAAATGTTCTTTATAACATCCTGATGATGGTATTCTTAGGCCAAAAAAAAAAGGTCTCCGGTTTCTGGTATGCGCGCGCGTCGCCGTAGCCATGCGCGTCGGCAAAATGAAAAAGGTTTTTTTTTCAATGAAAGATGATGTCTCAAAACCGCCAAACTCACTGGTTTGACTGGAATCCTGCTGCTGCACAATTTTAACGTGTTTTTAGATTGGGTTATGGTCGAGAATAAGCTTTATGTGGCCTCTCTGGACTCCCATATATTTGCACTAAAGTTTAGTCGGGCACCATTTGCAGTCATCAGCCGACATTTGAAGCAAAAAAATCAGGTAAAAAAAAAAAAAGCCGCGTCGCCGCACCACTTTTTGGGCAAGCTCCATACCAGAAACCGGAGACTTTTTTTTTTGGCCTTATGGGTCTTTATACATATATCTTCATTATAATTATCTTCATTTATTCTTTTTGTGGCTAACACTGGTGTTCCTGACCACCATCCTTAGCTAGAATAGATGTATGACGGCCTGTAGGGAAAGGTGCTTTCAAAAAATTTATTCATAAAAACGGGGGGGGGGGGCAGACGAATAATTTACATGCACGCTGAATATTTGGGAGACGCTTTTCAACATCACTATTTTTCTCAAGATTTGCGCCTTTTTTCGTGCGATGTCTCATTGGAAAGCTCACAACTAATGTAATGCTAGAAAATTATCAATTCTATTTAAAAATCTTGTTTTCAAGGTGTCACACTCCATAAGCACGTACACACCAACTTTATTTTGTGTAATTTACAGAACCAATAAATAATGCACCCGATTATCTAATCGTCACAGCTGGCCCAACCGAAAGCCTCTTACCTGACTTCAGATTGCCTCCCAATTTCAGATTGCCACCCAAGTTCAGATATTCACGGCGAACCCCCAAAATGTCCAAAATTAATGTTCAATGTGTAAGATCGTAATGTTGCCCTCCAAAGATGATTTTTGGAGGTTTATCAGCTCCAGGAATGCATAGTTCTCTGTTTTTACCTGTGCGACATAATAATACAACAGACGGTTCAATTATAATTTTAAAGGAAACACGGTTCCTAAATTTATTGTAAAGAGAATTTATAAATATATCCAGTGAGATTTTTGAAATAAGTTATCCTGATGCTCAGCCCAGCCTGTTTTTGACTGGGAAAAAAATCCTCTCTAGCTCCTCAGGCTAGTAATGCACAGATGGTATCGATCATGTCCCCCTCCCTTCCCCCATGAGCTGCCCCATTCAATTGACGCCGCTCCTGCCTAGGTCTACCCCCATTTCTTTTTCTTTTAATATGTTTTTCAACTTTTGGCGAAAAGTGTGTTTAAGGAATTGGTTAAATGTGTGATTTTTTGCTCAATTATTTGATTTGTTTTGAGAACATGTTCAGTGGCGTAGCATGGTCGTTTTTAAGGGGGGGGGGACACTTGGGACAATCAGGGCGATGCATGCGCCGCTGTGCAATTTAAAAAAAAAAGTACCCGGAATGGCAGATGGCGCAAAAAAGGGCACAACTTTTCTTTAAAAAAGGCACTTGTTCAGAAAAAAAAGGCACCGTTCTTTAAAAAAGCTGCATTCTTTACAAATTATTGGAAGCTGGCCGGGGGTATAAGCGGTGGTGAAAAAAAGGGCATTTGAATGGAAAAAGGGAGACTTTACAAAATATATATTTATATTTGTTTGGGGGGGGGGGTGGGGGGGTGGGAAATACCCCTCCCCCCTCCCCCCCTCCCCCACCCGCTGGCTACGCCTATGTTGTAGTCGGTCATAGCTTGCGCGAAAAGAAATCGCTAGAAATCGGCTGATTCGGACTTAGATAAAATCTGTAGTTGGGACAGATTCAATTCTTAGTCGGGTCTATGTTGAAGTTGGGACCGGGATGAGCAGCACTGCTCCACGCTTGTGCTGCAGGGGCTGCGCTGTTGCAAGGAAACCACTTCTGCATCCAAATTGATCATGAAACGCATGCAAAGCTGAAGATTTGACGTTGACTTCGTGAAGTCAAGGTAAGTTACTCATGGCGTACCTACCATGGAGCCATAAATATTATATTGTGTTGTCTAAATTAATTAATGCTATTGCTAAACCCTGTGCTAAACTAACTAAGACCATCCGCAATGGCAATGTAATGCAATCATGGCAATGGCAATGGTAACCGCATTAGAAAATGTGTGAGGGCGCTGTTGATTTGGTGACCCTTTTTCTGAATTCTAGGAAATTGTGATTAATTTTGATTTTTGTGCACATGCATACTGTTCTATTTAATTTCAAATATCAGAATTTTTGACATCATGATTGCCGTCTGCCAAGTGCCATTTAAATTTTAATTATTGAAAATGAAATATTTAGGCTAAACATGTTAACCCTTTCATGCCCACATTGTTTATTGACTTGGCTCTCCCCAGGACCAAATTGTTTGCTCAGTCATGCGGAAATCACTAGAGCGTGAAAAAAATGAGCGCGAGTCTAAAACTCAATTTTTTCAACCCAAATGTTCACTGCCAAGGAGTGATTAAAATCATAGGTGTTGTGTGTAAAGTTTGTTCCTTGAACCTTACTCTTTGATGTGATGTAAAAATGAGGTCCATATGTGCACATATTAGAAAGTTATGCCTTTTTGTTCATCTGGTCCCAATTATCAAACTGCAAGCCATTTCACCACATGACCAAATGGCACTCCATACCTCAAATTGTGCGTGGATACTTCTGAAGCACTTTTCTCATTTTTTTGTAATAGTAACACTATAAATAAACCACACCAAAAGAAAGATCCGAAAACACTCTTTCCGCTGGTATATAGTTGATGTATGGGCAGCCAAACATATCAACATGCCGCCTTTCTGAAAAGTAGTGAATATGTCTGTGTTGAGAGTGTTTTGTGTGTGGTTTCCTGGTCAACTAAAGTCGCCCATGGGAACCAGCAGGGGTGTAGTTCTTGTCGACAAAAGTCGCCCATGGTAAGGAAAGGGTTAAAGCATGAATAAAAACCAATTTTTTGAGAAAATGTGAGTTTTGAATTTGAGCATTTCAATCATATTTCTGCACTCCTTTTTGTCTGCAAACATGGCAAAAGAATTATCCTGGAGTCACCATATTGGCGCAGGTAACGCTTGCAACCCGCGCGCGTTGTCCAACGCAAATTGAATGGGAGTGCGTCGAAATTGATCCTCGTCGTTTTCTTTTAGGTGGACTGACGATACCCTTTGCATTAAATGTACACATTTCGGTGTCTCAAAAAATCCCTGGTTTCAATCCATTTTCTTTGATAAGCAGATTCTGATGAATTTGTATTTTTACTATTATGTTTCAGTTTTTTTCCACAAAACCACATCAAAAAAACAGTGTAGAAAATATATAAATATATTCAAAAAGTATAATTTGCCGAATGTTCCCAAATTTTCATGTAATTTGCTGAGATGAAATTTAATTAAGACAATTAAATTTCTCCAAAACCATATTTATTATTTATTAGGCAGTGGATATTTAGCCGGAGACGGCAAACCTTTAGTAAATGTTAGCTTGCCGGATATGCGCTGAACATGCGCAGTTACTGTTTTTTTGTACTTAGACATTTTTCGGTGACAAATTTTAGTCTGGCTCCATGCCAACATTGTCGTTGTAACTTTGGTATTCACAAGATGGGAATCAGACCATTTTACAATTTTGGGCTTTATTTCCCTTTTAAAGAAAATCCTCCAGAGCCACAAATCTGAAAAAGAAAATGTAGGGAAATGTGGGGAAAAAAAAAAACTTAAAAATTTTGCCCTCAGGGATCGAACCCGGATCTTCCTGCTCATGAGATCCGTTGGTTATCTACTAGGCCACAGGTGCTACACAACCGTTGGTGGTAATTTAAAATATCTTATAATTCAGCCCTATCTTGGAGAGTACAGCGCCCTCTGTTGATAGGGATTGTCGCCGGCAATATATCCACTATCTATTTATTATGACTAAATGTACATGTAGGCCTACATACTTTGTTTTCAATTTCTTTTCCCCATCTTTTTTCTATAGTTAATTCTATCAGTTATTTGACATGTACATGTCCAAATGACGACCTTCAAGTTTTTAGTTGATAGTTACTTTCTGAAATTGACCTTTTTGCCTTGTGAATCATAATCACAGACTGAAAGATCGGATCTGCTCTAAAATTAAACCCCCGAATTATGCCTTAATAGCCACCGGCGGGGGGCCTATCCGTGATAATGACACAATGACTTCGTCGACCCATAATGCAAGGTCAAATTCATGTGCGCTAGCCGGCCAGGAAAGTGATTCACAGTCTGTTAATGACCCGTGGGACGTGTAGTCAATTAAGGTACCCATGATAGAACTTGAAGGGTTTACCAAACTGCGGGTTTGTTTTTGACGTTGGCTCCAGGATCTAGCATTTTGGGGCCCTTTGACTTGGTTGACACTGGCTCAGTATATGTAGGAAAATTATCTGTGAGAGAAACATCCATTTCTGCGGTGTGAAGCCAAGTTTTGTGGAATATCGCAGTTTAGATTAAAAGCTTTTGAAGCCACTTGAGTCGAAAGTCATGACTAAAACATAGCCGAGATTTGGGAAACGCCCTTGAAAGGGCGGCACATGAGTGATGGGAGGTCTCTATTCCTGTCCGTCTCAGCCGCGTTGGGAAGAAGTCGGAAATCATTGTGCTTCCTGGGAGCTGAGAGGGTCCGTTTCAGTGCAGATCTGCATGCGCTCTTGAAGCTTGGAGAAGAACAAGAGATTTCGTCGGCTTTCCATTATGCTTGGATGTACTGGATGGCGTGCCTTTAATGACTTGAGATGTACAACTGAAACAAAGTATGTGTGTTGCTTGTGGAGTGTCCGCTTTCATGCCATATTCCTTGGATTGACATGAGGATCGATGATAATTCTTCATGCCCTCTGTTGTCAAGTCCTGGGTTTGGGGACTGCATAACCTGTCTTCAAATGTGCGTTAATTTGCTGTTTGTATTTGACAGACCGAAAGAGGGCCTGATATGTGACTGAGGTATTCGCCAGTTATTGTTTTATCCATTGCTTGTACGGTAGTTCACATGCCTATTATCAACCTTACCAGGTAAGTGGAGATGAAACAAGGGCAGATCAAGTGGTTGGGGTGCCTCTCCTCTCCCCCCCACCCCCCCCCCCCCACCCCGACTTGATCAGTTTTAAATGTTAATGGAAAAAAATCCCAATTTTCATTTACCTCAGGCTTTCAAGTGTTCCTACTTTTCCTACTTTATTGCTAATTTGTATTTTATCCTTGCTCCTTCGTTTTCTACTTTCTTTCTTGAAATTGCTACTATTCCCTACTTTTTTGTCCCACAACTCTGAAAAATAAAATCTCATTGAATGCTTTTCATAATGGTGTTACACACTGTCTTCATAAATCAGAAAGTGAATTAAGGGCTTGGGCGCAGGAGTACTGCAACTGTATCCTTCCAAGAGCTTAGTTGAGGATGGCGCACAAGTGTTATGATTATAGAACAATGTAAATTGAGGCTTATGATGACCTGTGGACATGAGTGAGTACATTGTACAACAAAAACTACTCCTGAAAGCCCGCAAAAGTCCTACAAGTACTTTGATCCTGATTTTGTCAAAGTCCTACTTTTGTCCTGTTTTTTATTGTTGAAAATTTTGAACTTACTGTTCTCCTATTTCTTTCACCTGGGTCTGCTTGAAAGCCTGTTAGGCCAAAAAAAAAATAAGTCGGTCTCTGGTCAGCGCGCGCGTCGATTTTATTCATGCACGTCAATCTTTTTTTTCTTCCAAAATGTTCCGCGGTAGCTCCAACAGCGCCCTCTATTGCCACACCTCTTCAATTGTTTTTACCAAAGAGCACCAAGGAATGGGAAATTGCACCAAGGCAAATGATCGAGAGCACCAAGGCAAATTATGGAGGACACCAATGTACATGAGGACACCAAAAAAGCAAAATAGTACCCCACCTTGTCTGTACAATCCAAGCTTGAAAAAAAAAAAAAATTCCGCATCGCCGCGTCAATTCCGGAACTTTGGTCTGACCAGACACCGAATATTTTTTTTTTTTGGCCTTACCTTAATAACGTCATCACTTTATATAGCAAATATTGATTCATTGCTAAAGGAATTTGGTCAAATAGGATCATTTGCCTTTCGTGCATTTTATTTGTTTCCAATAATAACACCACTCCAAATTCAAAGAAGAACTAATGTTCAAAACCTTACCTGTTAAAGTTTCAGCTCACAGTGCATAATTAACAAAATTGTGAAAAACCACGCACAACCTTTTGATCACGAAGAACAATTTCGTGATTGATGGAAATCACCTACATTTCTTGATTTCATCTAAATGACAACAAGCCAGACAGAAAATTCCCACAGGGTGTTTATATAGCACCAGTAGGCCCACAATCTTCAATCCTACTTGTACTATATGTAAGCTTTTTGATAATAATTCAGTACATTTGTAGATTACTTTTTGGGATAAATTTATGCAAACAGTCCTAAACGCCTTTAGTGTACAATGAAAAAATCCCTCGTAACTTGGGATCCCTTGCAAGAAATTGAGCGTCGGTGGAACGTTGTGCATCACCAGCCTTTTTTATTTCAGGGAAAGGGGTGTTACTTTTGATGGAAGTTGAAATGCACTATTAACTTGATGATGTAGGCAGTGTGGGCTCAGCCTACGCAATCCAAAGCTCTTAACTGGAAATGATCTTCAACCAGTTCTTTTGTTTCCTACTTGAGTCATGTTTTAAGAAATAGAAATAGACAAGTTCATATTAGTGTAATCCTTGACATGCTACTGCTAGGATTTGCAAGTGTGCCATTTCATGGTTGTCGCCCTCGCTGCATTCAAAATAGATCATACAGCCGTGGACTAGCATCCCACCCAAGCAAAGCTGCTTTCTGGCAAGGGGCCATGCAGATATCGTGTACAAAAAATGACTACTTTGTTTTTCGTGAACATTGTTAAACCTCCACATGTAGCCTCCTTACAACAATGTTATGCACACAAATATGTGCTCTGATCTTCTTCAGGTCTCCTGAAGACGATACTGATCAGAATGTTGAGTTTGTGTACAACCAACCGGTTCAGGACCACATCTTCCCAAAAGAGATTTCCACATGGTGTTACCGTCTTACCGCAAACCTTCACAATTTTCATTCTACCACCACGCAAAGTTTCAAATCTTACTTTTGGGCCTATAGGCCCTATAGAACATACACCATTTTTTTCCTTTCTCTCAGCCTTAAGAACAACATTCATAATAACGCCTTTATTTTCCATTCGAAAACTAGGATCCAACATGACTACCCAAATTACATGTGACAAAAGAGTAACAAACAAATGCCATGTTCTATCTCACTGCCACATTATTCAAATGACAGGTCTTGTACTGTTGTCCCTTTTAATGTGATACTTCATACAGTATAAGGTCGTGATGTGAGTATATATGTAGTTCTGTTAATTGTGCTGCGTCCGTGGGCATCGCAAGGGGGGGGGGCACTTGGCCCCCCTCCTCCCCCGGGAAACGAAAAAAAGGACAAAAAAAGGATTGCTGTTAATTTGATGGGGGGGGGGGGGTGGTAGGGCAAATGCTCCCCCGCTCATGCTCGGAAAAGTGATGAATTGAGAATATACATTGTATAATGAAAAAGTTAAGGAATTTTGGGGAAAAATTTGCTTTGCGCCCCCCCCCAGAAAAAATCCTGGCGACGCCCATGGCTGCGTCCACTTTCTCCTGGCATTGCCCATAGTCTTTTGGGGCGTGTAGGGTAAATGCACTTTCTGCCACTAGAAACAAACAGGAGACAGAATTTGTGGGTGAGCTGATATGAGTAGGATTTATAACTTTCTTGATAGCAATAGTGTCAGGCCAACGGTAACCAAGTTTAATTCCAGTGTGTCAGTCAGTTTTCTGGGCTGTCATTGTGTGAGAGCTTGCTGAGCTCCACCCTGAAATGTTCCCCTTAATGTGTGAAGTTCTATGCGTCACTCCTGATAAGAAACTTCCTTGCAGAGTCTGTTGCCAATTACATGTACGTGAAAAAAAATTGCGGTTGGAGATTGAAAAGACTTGTTTTCCAAGTTGGACACTTCAATACAGGACTTGACGATAAGGCACATACCGGTACACCCCTTGCACGTCAGTGTGTGATTTTTTATTTGAAGAATATATTCTGAAAAGAAACAATTATTGTTTTTTCTTTTTTTTGCAACTTAAAATCCACAAGAAACTCATCTTTATTGGGCTGGTAAAAGAACACTTTGTCGCAGTGTGATACATGTAAGAGGAATTCTTTGCACACCTGGCTGTTATGAGTTCATTGTTTGGAGGTTTTTCATTGCTTTTGTGAGTTTCTTGAGATACACGTACATTGTATATTATTGAAATTCTTTGGTACGGTATTTTCTCTGACTGTACCTGTACAATGTATAAAAATCCATGCAACCTACATTCTTCTTTCTTCAAAAATTGCTGCTGCACACATGGGCGTCGCCAGGTTTTTTTTTTTAGAGGGGGGCAAAACATATTTTTGCCAAAAATGCATGTATTTCTCAAAATATTCTCGATTTATCAGTTTTAGAGGGGGCAGGGACATTCCCCCCCCCCCCCCCAACCCATTAAATTTACACCACTATGACTTCAAGCCTCTTTTTCTTTTCTTTTTTTCTCTTTTTTTCCTTCCTTCCTTTTTTGTTTTGTTTTTGTTTTTGTTGCTTTTCCGAGTGGGGGGGGGGGGGGGAGGCAAAGTGCCCCCCTTGCCCCCCCTCGCGACGCCCATGGCTGCACAACTGTTTTACTTTTTATACTGCATGTGTAATTATGATTTATTTTCAGAATCCCCTTCAGAAAAAGTATAGAAATCAAAAAGAGATTAAGTACTACCCATTATTCAGAAATGAGTTGAGCACTTGGGTAGGCTAATCTGTAAATCACAAATAGAAACCATTACTTAGGTCATGGGTCAGTCTGTAAATGTGATCTTTTTTTGGTGTCCCTGTAACACCTGACCTTAAATTTGTAATTGCCATACAAGTATAACTAATATTGACTTCAACCTTTTGTTTATTTGTTTGGAAGGAGATACCAGTACATGTACACGTATGTAGAAGGCCTTAAGAACGTGGCCTGAATAATTTACAAAACAGATGAAACGGGCTGTGACACAAACAAATATGGACCCCCAAATTTATGGAATGACCGTGGTACCATGTGCCCTGTCACCAACTTGTAAAAATTGTATTTGTTCCCGAATGACACGTGCCCACGAGCATGGCACTACCTCAACAATTGATGTCCTCTAAGTTCTTTGTGTTGTAGTGACCAAATAGGTCTGTCATAAAACATAGTCAAATTCAATTGTGTTTCCTCTTTGGTTCTGTTAGCGCGACATCAGGTGCGCCCAAGCGGGGCTCAGCCATGGCTGTCCATACTGAGCAACCAACGCAGCTGGCCTTCCAAGAGATATTGGGAGTCTTTAGCAACAACATCTACACGGCTGTCGCAGCGGACACATACTCCTACAGTCCGGAAGAACAAGTCATTCAGGTCGTCTCTATTGATGTTTCAAACACTGACCCACTGAGTACGACACTGGATGAGAATTTGGAGGACAATTCCGTCATGGGACCGACGACAGATAGACTGTCGGGAGAGATGGATTGCACGAGGGTTCCGGATTCGACAGTTCAGGAGGGAACGTTTTTTACGAAGCCTGAAAACTGGGACCCAATTTTAAGAAACTCGGATCCAATGTTGAGAAACTCTGATCCCTTGAGCTCTCTGGATCATCTTGAGAAAACTGACATTGACCAGGATGATTCCAGAAACTCAGGTTCATTAAGCATTGTGGATCCTCTTGATTACAATGACCCGTTAAATACTATGGAACCATATGCAGAAATACTGAAACCGCGGGGCTTGTTTTCCCAAAAGACTGAAATCGTCAGCAGTTCATCTACTGAAGCGATCGTCAACCAACCAACTTCAAACTTTCCTGATCCCACGAGGATTTGTGATGCATTGCCAGACATCCCAGCTACAAAACCGGTTCCGAACTACGTGTCTGTTCACCGAAAGCAGCCCGAGAAGTTGGCAGTGACACCGGAGAGGGACCAGCGAATCACGCGGGTCGCCGCCATCTTGCGGGGGGACTACGGGCACAGCAACACGAATCAGAGCAACCAAGATGGGCTGGGCTTGTTAGAATACATCGATGATGGCTACTCCACCATCAGCAAGTACCGCGACGACAAGGAGGATGACGGCAACGGCGATTGGCGACAGCCTCCCGAGATCTCAGGAAAACAATCCGAGTCTGTCTTGAGACAGCCCAAGAGTCACGCGTCCGGTCCCAGCAACAGCAGCAGCACAACGCGGCTCAGCTCTTGCGCATTCGGACTGGAAATCAACACTAGCAGACAGAAGCTCTTACGTGACGATAAGGTTCTCTCTTGCACCTTCTCGTATCTTGGCTCTTGTCCTTCCAATTTTTTTTTTTGGATCTGCTCCTGCATGTAGTTGCCTGCTTTCCCACAGCATTGCCTCAATCTTGTATTTTTACCACTGCCTCCTGGAACCCGCATCTTTAGGTTCTCCACTTTATTTTACGTAGTCTTGTGCACTGCCATTCTGTTTTAAATTGCTGTTACGTTGTCTGTTTAATGAACCTTAGATTATCGTTTTTGAAATGTTTCGATAAATCTCTTCTGTCCCCTTTCCCATTTCTAGAGTCTTCATTTCCAAGTCTAAGATAGATAGATAGATAGATAAACTTTATTAAAATCCAAAACTGGAAATTACATGTTGTCGTCTCTCATTAAAAATATAAAAAATTCAACATACGCTACAATATTCAGGAAATAAATACACAATCACATCAAAACATTACAATTGCACACAGTATAAAGCACTAAAAACTTTAGAGCGTAAAAAAGCACATGTGAAATTAATGCAAAACCCATTCCCAAAGTAGAACCAGAATAAAGGACTAAGTATAAAAATTATGTCAAAAACTGTGAAAACCCGTTGCTTCTCAGATACCAGAATAAATTAATCCTTTGGATAAAAATCATCTTGTAAAATCATCATTATGACACTTAATGGCCCTGCCTGTGAAAAATGAAGAATATCGGTTTGTGTGTGCAACCACTGGTCTCTGTCTTCTGCTGCGTGGAATGATGTTATCCTTAAATCGGTTGTGGAGCGGATGCTCAGCATCTCCCCACACCAGTTGTAGCTTGTCACACAGCATGCAGTGAAATAACATCAAGTATTTTATGCATTCACAAAACTGTAAAAGAAAAGTTAATTGAAATTATCAACTTTTGTCTGCATGTTACCATTATGTGACGGTGTTAAAAATGTCTTTTTCCAAGGAAGGACACATGCTGCTCAACTGTTTTGATACACAGTCCCGTTAAATCCAAAAATCGTTTGTCTTTCAGCAAGAATACCGGTTCATGTAAGTCAGCATGTTTAAGTCAGTGTTTTGTAAAAAAAAGGTTAAAAGTTGAGAGGTGGAAAGATATCCACAGTTTTTTGGGATCACCTCTTCCGTGTTTTCTGTTCAGGTCCCAGTTTGAATAAATTATGAATAAAATTGCATGTTGGTGTATGTACAAATGTATGATATGTTTATTTGAGCATGTCTTGGCATGCAACTTTGTGTTTATGTAGAAATAATTGCTAAATTATAATTTTTTTACCCTTGCCCTAATACGTGTTTTTATATATGCCCTATATACAGGGTGAGTAAAAAAAACCCAACGAATCCCCATTGTTTTAGTGAAGTTCTGCATGTAGCACTTTCAAAATCTAGGATATGAATTAAAGCCCCATTCATGTCATAAGCTTTCTTTTAGTACAAGAATCATCATTCAAATGACTCATGTACTTTTCAATATAGGGATATGTGTGAATTGTTTTTGTTTTGCTGAAAGAACGCACACCTTTTTTGTGATCCGTGGACAGAACTTTCAAACGGTGGTTGTGTTTAAAATTCTGTAACTTGAAAAGTACATGTGTCATTTGAATGATTCTTGTACTAAAAGAAAGCCTTTAAATTGGGCTTTCATGTCCTAGATTTTGAACGTACTACATGCAGAACTTCAATAAAAGTAAAACAATAGTCTCGACATTTGGGTTTCGTTTTTTTTTTACTCACCCTGTACATGACCCCTCAGAAAATTTCCAGTTGTCATGAAAACAGACTTTTTGTTGATATGCATGATTGTCTCTTATGGACCGTTCCGGTACATGCACATACATACTGGTACATGTACATATATGTATTTGGCTACATGTACATGTAATAAATAACACAAACAAGGAATGTGATGGAAAAACCTGCACAATTCTGTTAAAATATGTACGTTTTTCTGTTTGCTTTATTTTTTTATGGGGGGGGGGGGTGGCAGTAAAAAAATGCCCGTGTCATATTTTAGTAACCTGCCAACTGAAGTGTCAACAGTTAGTGCTTATCACATTCCATTGTATCATGGAGGAAGTGTTCTTATTCCGCCATGAATGATGATTGTATATAGCTCCATTCATCATTGTACGGGTTCATTTTTAATGCGGACTACGTCATGGGGAATTCCTAGTTGTTGCAACACTCGGTTATTCCCAGTGTAAACATAATCCTATACCAATAACCATGCTCAGTGTTCCCAGTGTAAACATAATCCTATACCAATAACCATGCTCAGTGTTCCCAGTGTAAACATAATCCTATACCAATAACCATGCTCAGTGTTCGTGTATACTCACCACAATTGTACCGTTGTACTTGGAGCCGTTTTACAGATGATTTACATGTACATGTAGACTTTGGCATTAATTGAAAGCAGAAAGGTTGTCAGTGTGTACTGGTTCAACAAAATAAATTGTGGTTTCAAGTGATTTTCGAAAGGTAGGAATTACTAGGGTAATGTACGTACATGTACGTGTTCATGTATTTGTACATGTACTGTGTACATGTACCGGTTGGTGTACATGTACATGTACATGTATTTCATAGATAGAGCACAGAAAGAACAAGAAATATTTGCTTAGCAGTGCAGTAAATAAGCAACTAGCTTATATTGTATGCAGTTTGGAATGCTTAAGACTGGTTCACAGTAGTGCACAAATCCGCTAATAGCTGATCTGCTTATCACAGGAAATTAATTAATTAGTGAAATTACACGCATGTCTACGGTAGCGGCTGCATGCAGCCACTTCCCATAGACTCATGTGTAATTTTAAGCCGTCATCCAAATAATTTGGACATAGCCCTACATTGTAATTTTTGTGCAGTTTAGATGTATGCTTGTGACTGGTTCCCAGTGGAATTTGCTGAGAGCACAGAAAATACATATGTAATTTGCTTTACAAAAACAGCTGGGAACCATGCAGCCAAAATGTTAGATTACGAGTCGTGCATTAATAGACAACCTACATGTAGCTAGACCTGCCATTTGGCTGAAATTTCCGTTATTAAAAACAATGCGTCCTATCCAATTCGTTAGTGTGACATTTAACCCACGCCCACTACACATTACATGTAAGTAGCATTGGAACCAATGCAATTGGAAGTAAACTTGAGGGTTTATTCCATGGGCGTTAGTAATCAGTGGTACGTGCCCGTGTGTATGACAAAGTCACTAACGAACCGGATAACTGTTATGTTACGCAAACGCTCATTGTTAGCATGTGAACGCGTAAGGGGACAGCCGCACGGCGGGCGCGGGTTATTACAAACCAAATGAGTGTTCAGGTACATTTGTAACATTGACATGTGTATTATTTTTCTATCGGAAACAAAATGCAACGGAAAAGTATACTGCAGGTCTAGATTGTTAGATGTCTGTGGTTGCAACATTGGCTGCAGAACTCAACCGTGCCTTTCACTTGCACGTACATGTACAAAAAAAAGTACTACGTCACCATGCATAATTTTTTTGTTTAGGTCCGCTTTGGCACCCTGGATCCGCGTAAGATGGAGGACGTTACAAGCTCGGTGTTACGTAATGGATGTTACGTGAACCCATGGGACACGTGGAAGGAACCGTCTTGCGGCAGTGGTTTCAAGTTCATGTGCACGCGCAGTGAAAGACTGCCTTCTAAACAGGTAGGATTGGGAGGGGGGGGGGGTGGGGGGTGACGGATTGACACAAACCGCTATTGAAGTATTTCAGCCGAAGAATGTTCTATTTGAAGCTTTATGCAATGTGCAAACACGGTTAATTTCATTCAGTCAGTAGGGTCAGTGATGAGTGTAATTATGTTAACCTGCAACATACAACATACACATGTTTAGGACTAGTTGCCAACGTTAAAAAAACATCGGTAGTCACTTTCTAAATAATCTACTAGTCTCGTTATGCTGCGACTAGTCATTCCACTTGGCCGTGACTCACAGTTACAGTGTGACTACCGATCTTTGCCCTGTGACTTACCGGTAGTAGTTGCACTGCACTGCACGGTAACTTGTAAGTCCGAATGACCAAAGAAAATGACCAGAAAGTTTGTACCCCCATGCATTTGCAATACATGTAGACTGCTTTCACTTCTTGCCGCCAGTCAAGATGCATCGTCACGCTAACAATACGGCATCGTCAAGCAAACAAGCAGAAACGAAAGTCAACCAAATGCTTCTAATAATGGGGTAATAATGATGTAGCGCCTTGAGCACCAGTCCTGGTGGATACCGTACGTGCGCTTTATAAATATCCACTATTATTATTATTCCCTATGCAGATAGGATTTTAAACTGTACTTCATAAATACCTCAGACAGTTTAGCCATTCCCATTGGTCGAGAGCCCGTCACGTGGCCGGTATTAAACGGATGATAAAGACATGGCTAGCTGGTCTTAAACACTTTTCCAGTGTCACAATAAAATGTGGACTCCTAAAAATCCAGTGCCTCTTACCGTTTCATTGGTTGAACGTTCACAATCCTCACGTAGGCATGCGCAACACTACAAGCGAGACAGAATTTTATAGTTCTAAATTCAAAACGCAACACCCCAGGTGCGTTCTGCGTGACATCGCGCAGAACATGCTACGCGCGCGTCAATCTCCATAAAAGGGTTGTTTACATCTTACTCGCCAGCTGAACACTCCATTATTTTGCTAGAGGGGTTTTTCAAAAAGCATGAAGTGAACTTGTTGAACAAAATCGGGATTTTTTGAACGAATTATTTGATATTTTATTACGGATAAGGTATTTATGAATGGGAATAAATAGGTGCTCGGTCGGTATTTATCACTCTGTTTAATACCGCTTAGAGTCTGGGTGCTGATAATTACCCTCGCCTCCGGCTCGGGTAATTATCAGCACCCAGACTCTAAGCGATATTAAACGAGTGATAAAAACCTCCGGAGCACACATTTATTCCCTTATTGAATGTGCCAAGTGAATTTGAAAGTCTAACAGTTTCAGGTAGGGAATTAGCTTGAGAAAGTGATTTTTTTGTAAATCAGTGATTTAAATCATAGTGATTTAAATCAAACAAACAGAGTACGTAGTTGTGTACTCAAAATGAAATAGTTTTTAATACAACATTCCTGCCAACATTAGGCAAACATGGAAGACATTTGCGATGGCCTTTAATTCAAAACATCCCTTGGTGAACGGTGGCTTGTGACTCATTTCCGAAAGCTTGGTCACATCATCGTCAGCTCATGTTATTTCTTGACAGTACATTTGTGTAACTACCGTCTTAGTAAGCTGCTCAGTCAAAAGTAAAAAAAATAAAAACCCTGATAACCAACCACCTACACATATTTCAGTTTAACCAAACAATTAGTGCATGTACCTACCGGGGTAGTATAGCACTTAGTATTTTCCATCATAAATTAATAAAACCATAGAGTACGCCTTTGGGAGGTAGAGGCAGTATTACAGGCAGGGCAGTTTGGGGCGGTACAGGGTTGAACCCTTTAACGTTCCAGAATCGGCAAAGCTCCTAGGTTTTGCAGGAGTTGTGATGGATTCAGTCTGAATGGCAAAGTTCTCATTGCTTGTCAAGCATACGCTTACATTGTACGTTCTACTTGTAGTGAGAGACCAAGTTTTATGTTAATCACGTGTGGAATGCGCATTGGAAGAAATTTACACAAAAACGAAATAGGGATTCAAATTAAATAGTGTTCCAGCTTCTGAAAATACACCAGCAAGATTCAAGAATGTGAATTTAATATACACTTTGCCCTTCACCAACATGATTTTTATAAAAACTGTACGCTCTGTATTGTCTGAGAACTCATGAGGAAAAATTGACAAGCTTAAATACTTGGGCAGGACATGAGCCCATGATCCTCAAGGTGCCTGCTGCTACATGTACATGTAACTAAATGAGACTGGTGCAGAGGCCTAGCAAAATGAGCTAAGTGATCAGGTGGTAAGACGTCTGCACTTGTAAGCAGAAGGTCATGGCTTGGAGTCCCACCTGAATTTAGCTAAAGCCATGAAAGCCCTCGGACAACACCAAATGTACATTGTTTATAAAGTGATGTTGGTGAAGGGCAAAACCCAATATTAAATTTATATCACCATTATGCAAAGCTTCAGCCTACAGTTGTGATTCATGAATCTGTTTTAAATCTTACAGGAGCTTGATCTGAATCTACCCGTGGTGACCCCTGACTTTAATAAGATTTGTGCCCCGCCCAGCTCTGGCATCAACGTCACATGGTTTGGGCATGCGAGCCTCCTGGTCCAATTCGACGGCGTCTCCATCCTGACCGACCCCATCTTCAGTAGCTTCTGCGGGCCGGCTTCCCTAGTGGGCTACCAGCGCTACCGACCGGCGCCCTGCACAGTCGACCAGCTGCCCAAGATCCACGCCGTGGTCATCAGCCATTCTCACTACGACCACTTGGACCTACCGACGGTGAAGCAGCTCAACAACCGCTTTGGCAAGGACCTGAGATGGTTCGTCCCCATCGGTTTGAAGGACTGGTTCATTAAGACTGGCGTAGAGGACGTTATCGAGCTGGACTGGTGGCAGGCGAACTGCATCCCGTCCCACAGTAAGGTCGCTTTCACCTTCACCCCAGCCCAACACTGGTCCATGCGCAAGGGCTATGACAGGAACAAGAGTCTGTGGGGGAGCTGGTCTATCATTGGACCCAATCACAGCTTCTTCTTCGCAGGAGACACGGGCTACTGCGAAGCATTCAAGGAGATCGGGCAGAGGTACGGCCCATTTGACTTGGCTGCCATCCCCATCGGAGCTTACAAGCCTAGGTAATGTACAAGTTTTTCATTCCCATTTCATTAACCGTAACCAGCTAGGGTACGACATTTTGGCTGAAAAAACCTGCAGCGACATGCAACACTTGTCAAAATGACGAGCCTGTTCAGAGAAGTGAGATCCATCAGGTCAAAAGTCTCTAGGCCAAACTGCCTCAGAGTCTGTGGTTGCTAACTGCAACATGATAAACCTGTTACATTGTTAAATGAGACTAGCTTTTCAGAATTGGCCGTTTATGGGCTGGTGTCGATGGCTCAATGCAGCAAGGTCCCACAGACAATTACTCCTGATGATGGACTGTGTTGAATCTGGTAGGGTTAGGGTTAACAGCTGTTCATTCTGTGATCCACAGGTTTTAGAAGTTGGAATTTTTATGCCCCGCGGCGAAGCCGAAGGGGCATTCTGTTTCCGCCTTGTCCTTCCGTGGGTGGGTGTGTGTGTGGGTGGGTGGGTGAGCTTGTCTTACATACGCAGTGTGGACTTCCGAACAAAAGACGTCCACATAATGTAGGTAGCAGCGACGAAGTGTGGACTTGCCCACGTCCACACAGTGTTTCCCCATTTCTGGAAAACAGGTTTAGAGGCATTTTTGGGTTAGGTTTATCTGTAGCAGAATGAAGAGAAACACTAAAGGGAATCATTGAAAAAAAATTGGGTTGTAAGAGTTTTCACAGTTTGAGAAAAATTAGTTTTTCCACTGGTGTTCCTTAACTACACGAAAAGAAAGGAAAGTCCACACTAGGTATGTGAAACAAGTCTGGGTGTGTGGGTGGGTGTGTGTGTCCGGACAAATCTTGTCAGCGCGTTAACTTGAGAAATACTTAACATATGAACTTCAAATTTGGTTTGTGTATTGTTCTTGGTAATCCTAACAACCCTTTTGCATTTGGGGCCGAAAGGTCAAGGGTCAAGGTCACAGTGACTAAAACAAAAGAAATTTTGTCAGCGCGATAACTTGAGAAATACTTTACATATGAACTTCAAATTTGGTTTGTGGATTGTCCTTGGCAATCCTAAGAAGCCTTTTGCATTTGGGGCCAAAAGGTCAAGGGTCAAGGTCACAGTGGCAAAAACAAAAGAAATTTTGTCAGCGTGATAACTTGAGATATACTTTACATATGAACTTCAAATTTGGTTTGTGGATTGTCCTTGGCAATCCTAAGAAGCCTATTGCATTTGGGGCCAAAAGGTCAAGGGTCAAGGTCACAGTGGCTAAAACAAAAGAATTTTTGTCAGCGCGATAACTTGAGAAATACTTTACATGTGGACTTCAAATTTGTGGATCGTTCTTGGTAATCCAAATAGGCCTATTGCATTGGGGGTCGAAAGGTCAAGGGTTAAGGTCACAGTGGCTAAAACAATAGAAATCTTGTATTCTGAGATCATAGGGATTAGGGATTAATTCATATAAAACCTACAGAAGACACTAATGCTGTCAATGAACGTTTCATGTGACCAAGGTACATGTAAGTTGATGTTAAAAGAGTGTTGTTATGTCATGGAAACAGTCACGGTTGCGGGGCATTTGTGTTTGTAAACACACCTGACTTGTTTTTCAAATAATGTTGCCGCAAAGTTTTTGTCATAGATTTTGGACGGACTAGTTTGAAGTTGGTTATGTTGGTGGTGCCATTTACACAGTTGTAATAGGTCACATGCAACCACGGTCAAATCCTGGGACTAAAAAACAAATGGGAGGGCTCAAGCCTTGACGTAAAAAACATATGACACGTAACCATGACTGAATTTCTGAGCTGCACCTTCGCTAAACATTCACAAAACACGAAGTCAGTTTGGAATGCAGATTAGAGTTTTAGTGCCCACAACACTCTTTATTTTCCTCAGAGCTTTCTTGAGCCCCCAGCATGTCAACCCGCCCGAAGCCGTGCAGCTCCATTTGGACATTCATGCAAAGCAATCCGTGGGCATCCATTGGGGAACATTCCAGCTGGGAAAGGAGGTAGGTACCAGACCACCGATATGTATGGACTTGGTGCAGGACGAGTAGATGGTGCCTCGTCACCGCTCGCGGCACGTTGCGTGTTCATATAAGTTTGAGCATGCATGGCACAAAGTAGGCATCATTAATTTCATTATTATGCGCAGATGTCATATCGTCTTGGTTTGAGTGCTAGGCATACAGCCGCAACGCGTTCCAGTCGCTCTCTCAGGACAGTGTAAATTGTAGACCTTTCCTTCCTTTGTTAGATTTGAGCGCCATTTTGTATGGGTTGCCACAGAGTCATAAATTCAAACTGTGGTTCGCAAAAGATTTGGCCTAAAAAGTCAATAATGTACTTTAATAATTATACTTTTTTCTTCAATGTTGACATTCCGTAATATGCCAACCTTTCAAAAAGAGTCTATATGGACAGTTTGCTTTTCCTATCATCAGAAGACTCCAAAAACATTGAGTTTCCACCTTCCAAAACGTTGAGTTTCCATCGGTTCTTCTCAGAACAACACAAACTCACAAAAGCGGGTTTACTTAGATGCTGTGCATGTCACCACGATGTCATCCTTCTTTCAAAGACTTTGTGATTGATCCATCATCCATCTCATGTCTTGGCAGGGTTACTTGGCCCCACTTGAGGACCTCAAGATTGCCCTGGATGAGGCCCGTCTGACGGACCAGGACTTCTTCACCCTGAAGCACGGGGAGACCAGACTGTTGGCAGAAGAAGAGGATCAAAGAGGAGAGTGAATCCACCTGATGAGATCCCGATAGCCACGTTTTTGGTTATGGCTAAGGACAATGGCGCTCTCATAACGCACAGCCATGGTCAAATGAGACAACATACTCATTGCGACATGGCTTTTATTGACACATTGACACATTATTAACAGTTTTTGTTCAACAGTTTACTTAATGTATGGTATGTGCCTCTTGCGCAAAGTGCTCAAAATCTCCTTATATGGAAATTATCACGTGCAATGTGGTGCAGAATGCAGTAATTGTGTTTTTAAAAGTGGCCGGTATTTTATCAGCCATTTAAAACCACCCACGTGACAGGCTCATTACCAATAGGAAATGGGTAAACTGTCGCAGGGATTTATGTATGTATATTATCAGTCAGCATATATATCTCACAATTCTCAAAATGTACACATGTAAATACATCCTGTTCTTGGAATGGATATTATTTTTTTTACCCTGACTTTTCCGTACCTTATTACAAAACTATAATTGTGACTTTGTACGTTTTTTATTCTTTTTCTTCGAAGTTTATGTTTTTGATCTTGAAGGAACAACAATTGAAGCAAGTTATTGTGGTAGCTTTAAATTTTGTAAACTTAAATAAGATACTATTAATTAAACAATCACAGTAACCCTTTCAGTTAAAAAAAATACCCTAAAGATAGTCCACCTCCATATTCTACACCCCTAAATACTACCCGTTTTTTTTTTACAGGGCAATAAAAATAGCATCAGGCATTTGTTTGCATAAATTACTATCTGTTAATATTTGCCATGACAATTGGAAAAGCAAGGTACATTTGTTTGTAACAAAAAATCTAAAATGACTTGAAGACTGCAACATTAGCTAAAATACAACCATGATTTTAGAGAAACACTAAAAATTCAATTAGAATGAGCAAAAACCTACTTTTCGCAATCGAGAGATTCAAAAAAATGACCAAAAACAAGTGCCAAAACTTAAACAAATCCAAATGCCACAAATGAAACATGTGTACCATTTTGAAGCATCTTCCTGTATTTGGTTTTGTTTGAAATATAGTTTATTTCTTATAATGTTCAACATAGCTGTTACTTTCAAGTTAAAAAAAAAGAGAGTTTATTTGAGTATGCCGGGCACCATGGTGTTCCGAGCCAGTTTCTGCTAGAGCAATACAAATTGATGAACAATTTGACTTTATAAATTATTGTAGTGACTAACTGATTCATTTTATGAGAATTGAAATTCACTTTACTATTAATCATAGCTTTTACGAACACTAATGAGTTGTCTAAAATATTCATCTATACGGATCCGGTACCTCCACAAACTGCCTAATTCTAACTATTTCTTAGCATTAAAGCCATATTTTTGTGCGATTCAAAAGAGCCCACCTTTTTGATGCTCAATATGTTACTCATTTAAATATGTACAGAAAAAAATCAACAAGAGTTTAAAATGAACCTGTTTTAAAATAGTCCTTATTAAAATGTGTGTTTGTGAATGTATATATTTTGTGGAATTTCCAAAATATGCAGTTTGTGAATTGAAAACTGGTTGTAAATGCCAGAATGTTGCTTAAGCTATGGGCAGCTGTGCAATTACAGAATGTTTTCAATTATCTGTCGAAAATGCTGTTTACAGAAACTTTAATTGTGAAGCTATGCTAATCAATTGCAGCTAAACTATTAAAAATAAACTATGTTGATTCAGTTGCATAATTAAAGCTTGTTCCTATGATGATATGTGTTCAGTTCATTAAGGTAACCCCTCATTTGTGCAGGAACTAGATCTGAAGGGGATTCGTACATTTCAGTGTGTGTTTTTTTTTGTCAACAGTTTTTTTGTAACAGCTCAGTGGAAGTATTCAAAACTTGTCTCGAAAGTGGCATTAAAAGTCGCTATCATTCTAATTGCCCATACTACGGGGTTTTTTTGGGGGGGGGGGGTGTAGGGGGCGCACCCCCATAAGAAATCCCCCTAGCTGGCTATTTTAATGCCCAGTGTTTTATTTGTTTAACTCATTCCAAAAAAAATTATGAGCAAATAAAAAAAACCCCTAGAGACTCCTTATTTCTTAAAGTATGGTATCTGAACTGTGTATTATTGTATTGGTACATGCTTACTTATACCATAGAGCAAGGACCTTGCTCTATGCTTATACTGCTATAAAAATCAAATCAAAGTGGTTAAAGATATAGTCCATCATTTGTAAATGTGCATTTTGTTCGTTTGAAGCAACAAAAGGGCTCAAGATCTAAAGAAGGGTGCTGAACAACTAACCGGATGAAGTTTCAGCTCAGCTTCAGCTGTATATTCCGAGAAAAACGGCATTCTAGGATCTCAATTTCAAATCAAAAGTTACTGAATCATGTTTTGAATTGTTTTGAATTGCAGCTTTACACGCGACGTCGCGCACTGATCCGACGAATTATAGCAACCGCGCGCGCGTGTGCGTCTTGCCAAGTTGCGCGCGCTTCGCCGAATAACAGGCGAACTACTAATTTAAATTTTCCTGGAAAGGCCTTCTTTCGTTGATTACTTCAAAATGACAGCTTTCCAGAAAGAATAATTTCACAGGGAGTTTAGTTCCCTTACTATCTTTTAACCTAGTTTGTTTTTCAACAATAATTACGCCAGTTACTTTTCGGATGGCTGCAAATGATGGACTATTATCTTTAATGAAAATAACGTCAGCTGGTAATACAAGTACGTTGTGCCTAGTCTGATATTTCCACAAATGTAACAATGCCTTTAAATTGACTAGTGGTTTGAAGTAAGATAAGATACAGTCGAGACAATCACAAGGAATGTCTGAATTAACAGGAGATGAACAATGACAAAGGAGTATTGTTATTCATTGGAGTAGGCTGACTTGAGATTGGCATTGTTGACTACTATAGGAAGGACTCGATTTTGACCGACAAGAAATTCAAACAAATGCCCGTTTTTGTGTGTCATTTCATTTTTGGGAGTATGAATTATTACCATATACTTTTCAGTTGACTTGCAAGCTTGAAATTCCTGGGGGAGCACGTTTTGTGTAAATTTAATACCCACGGGGTCCAATAACAAAATGATTGTAAATGTGACGTTTTCTGAATGTAATAGCAGACCTAAAGTCCTTACTTCTCATTCGGGTTTGTCCGGTAAATAATAAGGGAATAAATGTGTGCTCGAGAGGTTTTTATCACTCTGTTTAATACCGCTTAGAGTCTGGGTGCTGATAATTACCCGAGCCGGAGGCGAGGGTAATTATCAGCACCCAGACTCTAAGCGGTATTAAACAGAGTGATAAATACCGACCGAGCACATATTTATTCCCATTCATAAATACCTTATCCGTAAAAAAATATCAAATAATTCTTTCAAAAAATCCCGATTTTGTTCAACAAGTTCACTTCATGCTTTTTGAAACATCCCTCTAGCAAAATAATGGAGTGTTCAGCTGGCGAGTAAGATGTAAACAACCCTTTTATGGAGATTGACGCGCGCGTTGCATGTTCTGCGCGATGTCACGCAGAACGCACCTGGGGCGTTGCGTTTTGAATTTAGAACTATAAAATTCTGACTCGCATGTAGTGTTGCGCATGCCTACGTGAGGATTGTGAACGTTCAACCAATGAAACGGTAAGAGGCACTGGATTTTTAGGAGTCCACATTTTATTGTGACACTGGAAAAGTGTTTAAGACCAGCTAGCCATGTCTTTATCATCCGTTTAAGACCGGCCACGTGACGGGCTCTCGACCAATAGGAATAGCTAAACTGTCTGAGGTATTTATGAATGTTTCATAGAAGATCATGACCTAGTTATAATTAATACGCCCTCTAGCTGTCTACAGATAGCAATGGACCGATCCAGTAAGCTCCGCCCAGTGCGCGCGTGGGCAAATTAACACGTGCTCCTCTCCAATGCCACACTGCATTTTCCTTCCGCGCGCATCATACGCGCGTGCACGCATGTCGGACTTTAGTGCACGCACGTCGGACATAAATCACGGCTGTGATTGGTCAGAACACCATGGGGCGGTGCTTACTGGATCGGTCCATTAGTCATCGTCACGCGACACACTGCGCGCGCATAAACAAAGGGGATTTCCCGCACCAGTTAAAATTGCAAAGCTTCCTTCATTTTACAGGACAAATCTTGACGAAAACGATAGAAAAATGGTAAGCAATGTGAATATTTCTCAAGAAACTAAGTACTCTCGGTCTTCGTCGTGCTCTACATGGCAATAAAGATTGAACAGATTTGCTTTCCTTCACGCCAACTTTAACTTTGATTCATTGGAGCATTGTGGTTGTAATCAACTCCCTAACTTATTGACATCTTATCTTCATTGTCCTCCGACTTTATTAGTCCACGTTGTATGTTGGTCCATGTTTTTCGTTATTAAGTTTGATTGTTGTTTGTTGTATTATGCCTATTAAATTTCCCTGTAGTGTTTGCTGTAACCCCGTGAAAAACAACCAAAATAGTATTTATTGTGATTGTTGTACTCTTTGGACTCACCTGAAATGTACTAGTCTCGATCTTATTGATCACTTTAATTTAGCCCAGGATGATGGAAATTGGTTTTGTCCCCAGTGTCTTAGCACTGCCCTCCCATTCAATTGGCTTGATTCTCATGAATTTGATTCAGTGATCACTGACTTGAATTCAAGTACAAATTATTCAATGAGCTTTGAGACCTTGATCGACCTTGATCTTGATTCACTTGAATTACCAATCGATGAAGATCCGGACAACCCTATTATCAGAAATTCGTGCTATTATTCACTTGATAATTTTATTAGTCATTTTAATCATGACCCTACAGATAATTTCTCACTTTTGCATCTAAATATTCGAAGTTTAACTAAACACGTTGATCAACTTAAGACTTGTCTCCATCCCTTAAATCATAATTTTTCTGTTATTGGATTGACTGAAACCTGGTTAAACGAAAGATCATGTATGAATCAATGTAATATACCTGGTTATTCGTTAATATGCAAAAACAGAGACGCCAGGATTGGTGGTGGGGTCGCAATGTACCTATCCACAGATTTACACTTTATTCCCAGATCGGATTTGAATGATATAGGTAATGATTCTTTTGAATGTACATTTGCTGAGATTATTACTTCATGCAATACCAAGAACATAATTATTGGAGTTGTTTACAAAGCCCCGAATGCCAACGCTGAAATTTCTTAACATGTTCTCAAACTTTATTTAACCAACTTACTAATGCAAATAAACACTGTTTTATTACCGGTGACTTTAATTTAAATTTACTTAGTTCAGACAATAGTAGACAACCGCAAGAATTTCTTGATATAATTTACTCTTCTTCTTACTTACCATTAATCCACAAAACCCACTAGGGTAACAACCACATCTGCCACACTCATTGACAACATCTTTTCAAACATCTTACCCCAACCAAAATCTGGAATTATTATCACTGATTTGTCTGATCATTTTCCAATATTTACATCTTTTCCATTTAAACTAAAACGCTTTAACCCCCAGCATATAATGACTCGTGATTATTCAAGTGAAAATCTTGCTAACTTTAAACATGAACTTTCCTCATCTGATTGGAGTTTAGTTTTAAATGCCAGGGAAGCGAATTCAGCCTTCAACAATTTTATAGATATTTTTAATGGTGGTTTAGACAAACATATAACTTCTAAACCGTATAAATCTAAATCATCTAAATTAACTCCCAAGTGCCCTTGGATCACTGTCAGTTTATGCAAATCAATTTGCCACAAGAATAAGCTTTATCGTAGATACATTGCCAGTCCCTCCAATTTTAATCGTTCCAGGTACGTACGCTATAAGAACATACTTACTAACGTTCTTCGTATTGCTAAGCACAACTATTATAATAAACAGTTTCAAAAAGTTAAAGGTAATATTAAAAACACATGGAAAATTATCAATAGTGTAATTCATAATAAGCAGCAATCCAAAATAAATACCATTCATATTGATGGTGCTAACATCAATAATCCTCAGTTTATTGCCGACCACTTTAACAATTACTTCATAAATATCGGGAAAAACCTTTCTAGTGTAATTAATTCTAGTGGCCTGAACTTTACTGATTACTTATCAAATCCAAACTCTAACTCTATTTTTTTATCTCCTGTTACAGAAGAAGAAATAGATGATATTGTTAGTAATTTGCCCAACAAAACAAGTGCCGGCTTTGATCTAATTAGCAGTACATTGATTAAACAAGTGATTCTGGCAATCTCCTGTCCTCTGACCTTCATTATCAACTTTTCTATTTCAACTGGTGTTGTGCCTGAGAAAATGAAGATTGCTAGAATCACTCCCATTTTTAAAAGTGGCAATCCCACAATGGCAAGTAATTATCGACCAATTTCAGTTCTTTCTTCATTTTCTAAGATTATAGAACGTGTTGTTTATAAACGTACCATAGAATTCTTTGACAAACACTGTATAATTTCGGATAATCAATATGGATTTCGAGCACAACATTCCACTACACATGCTATTATTAAATTAATTGACAAAATAACAACTGGTTTAGACGCATCCTTTTCTACTATTGGTATCTTCCTGGACCTGTCCAAGGCCTTCGACACAGTTGATCATGACATCCTTTTATCTAAACTGGAACATTATGGAATCAGAGGAGTTGCCTTGGACTGGTTCAGGAGTTATCTTTAGGCTAACCGTCAGCAATTTGTATCTATCAGTGGAACCTAGTCTACTTATTGTGAAATATCTTGTGGAGTCCCACAGGGTTCTATTTTGGGTCCCCTTTTATTCTCTATATACATTAATGATTTTGATAAGTCCTCAGATGTATTTTCCTTTATTCTTTTTGCTGCTGACAGTAATTTATTTTATAGCCCCAATGATGTAAATGTACTTTTTGATACGACAAATTATGAGTTGAAAAAAGTATCTGCCTGGATTAAAGCAAACAAGTTGTCTCTTAATATTAAAAAAAACAACTATATGTTATTCAGTAATAGGAAGTACCGTCAGCCGTTTCCAATCCGTATTGATGATACTTATATTATAAAAACTGATTGTTTAAAGTTCCTAGGTTTGTATATTGATGACACTCTTTCTTGGAACAAACATATCAATCACATTTCTACTGTTATTTCTAGAAACATTGGTATTATATCCAAGCTAAAATGTACTTTTCCCCAGGATATCTTAATAATGTTGTATAATACCCTTACTGTACCTTATATTACATATGGAATTCTTGCATGGGGTAATAGTGGTACTGGTCAAATTAATAGAATCCTCAAATTACAGAAAAAAGTATTACGTATCATTAACAACGTTGACTTTCATGAGCATAGTAATCCACTTTTTTATAATTGCAATACTCTAAAAGTTCATGACATTTACTCTCTTCAGCTGGGCTCCTTCATGCATCAACTTAACACTAACAGTTTACCCAATTCGATTTGTTCTATGTTTTCAAAAAATTATGATACGCACCTTTATTTTACAAGACAGTTCAATGAATTTCATCGGTCTCACGCACGTACTGCAATCTCTAAGGCAACTGTAAAGCATGAGGGTCCCAAGCTGTGGAGCTCGGTTGATTTTTCCCTAAAAAATATCTCCAGTCTCTCGCTCTTTAAGCACAAATACAAAAATTAATTATTGGAAAAATATTTAAGTACTTAAACATTTTTTTTCACGGGGTTGCAGCTGCATGTTATTCGAATATTCATGTCTGGTGTTATGTCCTTATGTTTTAGTTTGTGTGTGTAACTTGTAATATTTTTGTATGATTGTAACTGGGGATCTCTACTCGACAAGCATTGCTTTTTAGGGATCCCCATCCACATATTTTGTATACATTTAACTCTAATCGTCTTTTTTTTTTTATGTGGAAAATAAAGTGAATTGAATTGAAATCTTCAACGCTTGAAATTACTCAACTGAGCCACTATAACGTTACATGCTGCACTAATAAGGGAATAACATAGCCCAGGTGGACTCCCTTTCCTCCCTACGTAACGTAACGGAGGGAGTCCAGGGTATGAAGTGCTCAAAACTGGCCAATATGACCAATATTTTCAATATTTTTATCTTGTTGGAGAAGCCAATTTGTACGTCGTAGTATTCTATGTGTCATTAATTATTGGGCCGCTGGGTTCAGGAATTCCATATGCGATGCTGACCGACCTTAATCAGGAAAATAAACTCTAAAGCAACGGTAAACTTGTACGTGTTTGTAGACTCTTTTCATCAGTTTCTCACCGCCGGTTCTGAACTACGTGTCTGTTCACCGAAAGCAGCCCGAGAAGTTGGCGGTGACGCCGGAGAAGGACCAGCGAATCACGCGGGTAGCCGCCATCTTGCGGGGGGACTACGGGCACAGCAACACGAATCAGAGCAACCAAGATGGGCTGGGCTGCTTAGATTACATCGATGATGGCTACTCCACCATCAGCAAGTACCGCGATGACAAGGAGGATGACGGCAACGACGATTGGCGACAGTCTCCCGAGATCTCAGGAAAACAATCCGAGCCCGTCTTGAGACAGCCCAAGAGTCACGCGTCCGGTCCCAGCCAAGGGCGGATCCAGAACACAATTTGGGGGGGGGGGGGGCCAAAACAAATTTTGGTCCCCCAAAAAAGTGGGTCAAAAAAATTACGGCGTGGGGTTCGGGGCCCGCTTAAGGGCCCCGAAAATTTTTTTGATTCTAGATGCTCTGTGGTGCGATCTGAGGCAATTTCTGACCACTTTAACCAATGTTTTTTTGAGGAAAAGATGGTGGTGTACTCATTGCCTGCCTTTATTGCGATGTCACCAAAAAAAAATTGGTTTCGTTTTTTTTTTTTTTTTTTGGGGGGGGGGGGGGCATGGCCCCCTTTGGCCCCCCCCCCCCCCTGGATCCGCCCTTGGTCCCAGCAACAGCAGCAGCACGACGCGGCACAGCTCTTGTGCATTCGGACTGGAAATCAACACTAGCAGACAGAAGCTCTTACGTGACGATAAGGTTCTCTCTTGCACCTTCTTGTATCTTGGCTCTTGTCCTTCCAATCTTTTTTTCAGATCTGCTCCTGCATGTAGTTGCCTGCTTTTCCACAGCACTGCCTCAATCTTGTAGTTTTACCACTACCTCCTGGAACCCGCATCTTTAGGTTCTCCACTTTATTTCATGCGGTCTTGTGCATTGCCATTCTGTTTTAAATTGCTGTTACTTTGTCCGTTTCATGAACCTTAGATTTTCGTTTTTTAATTTTTTTTTATTATCTCTTCTGTCCCCTGCCCCATTTCTAGAGTCTTCATTTCCAAGTATTTATGCAGTGAAATAACATAAAGTATTTTATGCATTCACAAAACTGTAAAAGAAAAGATAATTGAAATTATCAACTTTTGTCTGCATTTTACCATTATGTATAACACTGTTAAAGCTATAGTCCATCATTTGCAGCCATCCGAAAAGTACCTGGCGTAATTACTGTTGAAAAACAAACTTGGTTGAAAGATAGTAAGCTAAAGGGAACTAAACTCCCTGTGAAATTATTCTTTCTGGGAAGCTGTCATTTTGAAGTAATCAACGAAAGAAGGCATTTCCAACGGTGATTCTTAAGAAGCACCGTAGGAAAATTCAAATTAGTTGTTCGTTTTGTTATTCGGCGCAGCGCGCACAAGTATTGGAACGACGCACACGTGCGCGCGGTTGTTATAATTCGTCGGATCAGTGCGCGACGCCACGTAGGCCCCCTATAGCTGCAATTCAAAACAATTCAAAACATGATTCTGTAACTTTTGATTTGAAATTGAGATCTTATAATGCTGCTTTTCTCGGAATGTACAGCTGAAGCTTAGCTGAAACTTCATCAGGTTAGTCATTAGTTGCTCAGTATCCTTCATTAGATTTTGAACACTTTTGTTGCTTCAAACGAACAAAATGCACTAATTACAAATGATGGACTAGGCCTGTAGCTTTAAAATGTCTTTGTCCAAGGAAGGACACACATACATGTACATGCTGCTCGACTGTTTTGATACACACTCTCGTTCAATAAAAAAAACAACAGTTGAATTTCAGCAATCTTTGTACATGTCAGCATGTTTAAGTCGGTGTTTTGTAAAAGGAAGTTTAAAAGTTGAGAGGTGGAAAGATATCCACAGTTTTTCGGGATCACCTCTTCCGTGTTTTCTGTTCAGGTCCCAATTTGAATGAATTACAAAATTGCATGTTGGTGTATGCGTTTATTTGAGCATGTCTTGGCATGCAACTTTGTGTTAATGATTTAAGTAGAATTCATAAATACCTCAGACAGTTTAGCTATTCCTATTGGTCGAGAGCCCGTCACGTGGCCGGTCTTAAACGGATGATAAAGACATGGCTAGCTGGTCTTAAACACTTTTCCAGTGTCACAATAAAATGTGGACTCCTAAAAATCCAGTGCCTCATACCGTTTCATTGGTTGAACGTTCACAATCCTCACGTAGGCATGCGCAACACTACAAGCGAGTCAGAACTTTATAGTTCTAAATTCAAAACGCAACGCCCCAGGTGCGTTCTGCGTGACATCGCGCAGAACATGTTACGCGCGCGTCAATCTCCATAAAAGGGTTGTTTACATCTTACTCGCCAGCTGAACACTCCATTATTTTGCTAGAGGGATGTTTCAAAAAGCATGAAGTGAACTTGTTGAACAAAATCGGGATTTTTTGAACGAATTATTTGATATTTTTTACGGATAAGGTATTTATGAATGGGAATAAATATGTGCTCGGTCGGTATTTATCACTCTGTTTAATACCGCTCAGAGTCTGGGTGCTGATAATTACCCTCGCCTCCGGCTCGGGTAATTATCAGCACCCAGACTCTAAGCGGTATTAAACGAGTGATAAAAACCTCCGGAGCACATATTTATTCCCTTAATAATTGCTAAATTATAATTTTTTTACCCTTGCTCTTATACATGTATGTATGTTTTTTATATGCCCTATACAGGGGTGAGTAAAAATCCGAAACGCCATTGTTGGGACCATTGTTTTAGTGAAGTTCTGCATGTAGCACTTTCAAAATCTAGGATATGAAAGCCCCATTCATAATTATAAGCTTTCTTTTAGTACAAGAATCATCATTCAAATGACTCATCTACTTTTCAATATAGGGATATGTGTGAATTGTTTTTGTTTTGCTGAAAGAACGCACACCTTTTTTGGGATCCGTGGACAGAACTTTAAAACGGTGGTTGTGTTTAAAATTCTGTAACTTGAAAAGTACATGAGTCATTTGAATGATTCTTGTACTAAAAGAAAGCCTTTAAATTGGGCTTTCATGTCCTAGATTTTGAAAGTGCTACATGCAGAACTTCGATAAAACAATAGTCCTGACATTTTGGTTTCGTTTTTTTTTTTACTCACCCTGTACCGGTACATGACCCCTCAGAAAATTTCCAGTTCAGTGTCATGAAAACAGACTTTTTGTTGATATGCGTGATTGTCTCATATGGACCGTACCGGTACATGCACGTACACACTGGTACATTTGGCTACATGTACATGTAATAAATAACACAAACAAGGAATGTGATGGAAAATCCCGCACAATTGTATTAAAATATGTACGTTTTTCTGTTTGCTTTATTTTTTTATTGGGGGGGGGGGCACGGCAGTAAAAAAAATGCCTGTGTCATATTTTGGTAACCTGTCAACAGTCATGACATCGACAGTTAGTGCTTATCACATTCCATTGTATATACCGTAGCTCCGTTGTATGGGTTCATTTTTAATGTGGTACGTCATGGGGAATTCCTAGTTGTTGCAACACTGGGTTATTCCCAGTGTAAACATAATCCTATACCAATAACCATGCTCAGTGTTCCCAGTGTAAACATAATCCTATACCAATAACCATGCTCAGTGTTCCCAGTGTAAACATAATCCTATACCAATAACCATGCTCAGTCATGTCAGTGTTCGTGTACTCATCACCACAAATGTACATTGTACTTGGAGCCGTTTTACAGATGATTTACATGTACATGTAGACTTTAATTGAAAGCAGAAAGGTTGTCAGCGTGTACTGGTTCAAGAAATAAATTGTGGTTTCAAGTGGTTTTCGAAAGGTAGGAATTACTAGGTTATCACAGTACGTGTTCACTGTTACATGTAAGTTCGACGTGTACATACACTGTACACAGGTACATGTACATTTACATGCACATGTATTTCATAGAGCACAAAAATTAGCCAAGCACAGGAAATATTTGGTTAGCGCAGTAAATAAGCAACTAGTAGCTTATATTGTATGCAGTTTGGAATGCTTAAGACTGGTTCACAGTAGTGCACAAATCCGCTAATAGCTGATCTGCTTATCACAGGAAATTCATTAATTAGTGAAATTACACACGTCTACGGTAGCGGCCGCATGCAGCCACTTACCATAGACTCATGTGTAATTTTAAGCCGTCATCCAAATAATTTGGATGACATAGCCAGTAATTTTTGTGCAGTTTAGACTATACATGTATGCTTGTGACTGAATTTGCTGAGAGCACAGAAAATACATATGTAATTTGCTTTGCAAAAACAGCTGGGAACCATGCAGCCAAAATGTTAAGCATTTTAGATTGCTTACGACGAGTCTTGCATTAATAGACAACCTGCTAGACCGGCCATTTGCCTGAAATTTCCGTTATTAAAACAATGCGTCCTATCCGGTTCGTTAGTGTTCACTTCAGTTTAACCCACGCCCACTACACATTAAGTAGCATTGGAACCATTGGAATTGGAATTAAGTTGAGTATTTATTCAATGGGCGCTATTAATCAGTGGTGCGTATGTGTATGACGAAGTCACTAACGAACTTGATAACTGTTATGTAACTTACGCGAACGCTCATTGTTAGCACGTGAACGCGTAAGGGGACAGTCGCACGGCGCGCGCGCGTTATTACAAGCCAAATGAGTGTTCCAGGTACATTTGTAACATTGACATGTGTATTATTTTTCTATCAGAAGCAAAATGCAACGTATGCAGGTCTAGATTGTTACATACATGTCTGTGGTACGTTGCAACATTGGCTGCAGAACTCAACCGTGCATGTCACTTGTCACGTACAAAAAAAAAGGTACTACGTCACCATGCATAATTTTTTTTGTTTAGGTCCGCTTTGGCACCCTGGATCCGCGTAAGATGGAGGACGTTACAAGCTCGGTGTTACGTAATGGATGTTACGTGAACCCATGGACCACGTGGAGGGAACTGTCTTTCGGCAGTGGTTTGAAGTTCATGTGCACGCGCAGTGAAAGACTGCCTTCTGCACAGGTAGGATTGGGGGGGGGGGGTGGGGGGGGGGACGGATTGACACAAACAGCTATTGAAGTATTTCAGACGAAGAATTTCCTATTTGAAGCTTTATGCAGTGTGCAAACACGGTTAATTTCATTCAGTCAGTAGGGTCAGTGATGAGTGTAATTATGTTAACCTGCAAACATACACATGTTTAGGACTAGTCGCCAATGCTAAAAAGCATCAGTAGTCACCACTCTCAATTTCTAAATAATCTACTACTCGTTATGCCGCGCTAGACATTCTACTTGGCTGCGACTAGTAACAGTTGCACTGTGACTTCTGATCTTTGCCCTGCGACTTACTAGTTGTTGGTTGTCGTGGTTGTACTGCACTGCACGGTGTGTAAGTCCGAAGCAACTCCATGTATACATACATGTAGTCCGTGAATACATGTGCTTGTGTAATGCAGCACGCGCCAACGGTCACACAGTGTGACAGCATCAACACACTGTATGCCAGTTGTACATGTAATAATGGTACACGTGCAGTGGGCAGTGTGGTTTCACACAAAGACATTTTGTAGGCATACCTGTACAGATCGAGCAGTCTTTGAATTTCTTAAAAAACCCCAAAAACAACAAATCTTGGAGAAATTAAGAAAAAAAGGCCAGAAAGTTGGTACCCCCACGCATTTTCAATACATGTACCGGTAGACTGCTTCCACTGCCGCCAGGCCCATTTATGCGAGTGCGCACATACATTGGAATAAATTTATAAGTATGAACAGGTCCGTTGACTAGAGGTGTATTACTGGACAAATACCGGTAGTGTTACTAAAAGTCGCAACTACCGCTAGTCATGACTATTAAAATTCGCTTGTCGCCCATGCCTACACAAAGTGACATGTTGAATACCTTTTGTTGCCCCAGCTATTTTTATTACAAGTCAGTGAGTAAAACATTTCAGTGGGGATTAGGAGGATAAGTTTTGCCAACTACATGTACATGTACATGTATGTAAGCTCAAAACTGTAAGGAACATTAGAAAAAGGTTCAGGTACACGATCTAAACAAATTATGCCTTGTTTTTTCTAAATGCACATACCGAAAATGTACTTTGTATGGAAATTTGGACGAAAAATCCATGCCGATGTAATTTGGGGATTAAAATATTAAACTGGGATTTAGCTTCATAATATTACCATCAATTGTTTAACTACGAAAAAGAAGAATAGGTAATAATAATAATAATACTACTTAATAATGAAAATTTATAAAGCGCTGGTGTGTGATGTACTTCTAAAACTGAACACCGCCCTCTGTTGGTTACATTAAAGTTGACCTTTCGGGGTTCACCAGCTTGTTCTGAAATGATCGTGTTTGTGTGAAGTTACTCTAGTTAACTAGACATTTGTGGCTGCTCGTCAGCGAATAACTTTACATGGTGTCAGAAAACGGATCATAAAAGTTGCAATGTCAGGCCTGAAACCACCGGGACAGTTGCAGCTGGAAGGGAACTTGGCGAAAAACTGGAAGGAATGGGTGCGTTCATTTGAACTGTACGCTATGGCAACGGAACTGCAGAAGAAACCGGAGCCAGTGCAGTGTGCAACGTTTCTGCACGTGGCGGGCCCAGCGGCACAGCGTGTATATGCGACACTGACGTTCGCGGACGATGAGAAGGACAAACTGCAAGTACTTAAAGCCAAGTTCAAACAATACTGTGAACCAAGAGAAACCCGTCAGTACTGCGATACATGTTCAACTCGAGAAACCAGAAAGTGGATGAGCCGTTCGACACATACTTGACAAACGTGAAATGCCTGGTGAGGGAATGTGAATTTGGTGACATTGAGAATTCCCTCCTTCGAGACAGAGTTGTGTGTGGTGTAAAGGACACAAAAACACGAGAAAAACTGCTTCAGGAAGATAATTTGACTCTGGAAAAGTGCATCAATATCTGCCAGGTCAGTGAAATGAGCGCCACACATGTGAAAGCCCTACAGGCTGAACTGGATTTGACCCAGCAAAGACAGGAGGTTAACCGGGTGACGTCCACTAAAGCCAGACTTCCGACCAGAGCTGCAAGTCGCAAGGAAATGTCAAATAACAACGCAGAAAATGGGACAAAGTCACGGTGTGACTTCTGTACTTACGTACACTTCACAAACCGCTGTCCTGCAAAGTATGAGCAGTGCAACTCGTGCCATAAAGTTGGACATTTCAGCAAATCGAGAATATGCAAAGCCCAGCACAAGTCGCGACCAAAGATGGTCAGGGAAGTCAACGAAAGCAGTGATGATGATGAGGACAACACCCAGTATGATGTCGCCGGTGTCAACCTACAGGAACCAAGGAAACAACTCGAGGACCTCATGATAGACTACATCGCTGGACAAGAATCAGGCGACTGGACTGAAACCTGTCAAATTGGGAGAAACAAGGTGGACTTCAAGCTTGATTCAGGATCTCAAGCGGACATTCTACCAGAAGACTGTTTCAAAAACACTGGACTGGCATTGCTTCCCAGTAATGCATCTCTCAAATCCTATTCAGGGCACAAGATTAAGGCATTAGGAAAGACCATAGCCAATTTGAAGGTTGGTACAGGTACCGGTTGCACCACACAACAAGTTGTTTTTCAAGTGGTAAGCGGAAATGTAAAACCTATCTTAGGTCTGAAAACATGTCAAAGGCTAGGATTGATTAAGAGAGTAAGAGTAGATGAAGTGGTTAGTGGTAGTGCGCAAAATGTGCCAGTGCATAGCAACATCACGTTCACAGAACACAATGATTTGTATGAAGGGCTAGGGAAACTGCAAAACCACGAATATGAGATTGAATTGAATGTAGATGCCGCACCAGTTCAGAACCCTCCACGCACTATTCCTTACACATTGCACGACAAAGTGAAGGCTGAATTAGAGCGTATGGAAAAACTAGGGGTCATTGCGCGTGTGGAAGAGCCCACAGACTGGGTCAGTTCCATGTCAATAGTTGGTAAACCGGATGGCAGTGTGCGCATTTGTCTTGACCCGCGAGAGCTCAATAATGCCATAAAGAGAGCCCATTACCCTATGCCCACCCTCCGAGATGTTGCAGCGCGCATGCCACAGGCTAAGGTGTTTTCAAAGTTTGACGCTACAAGTGGTTATTGGCAACTTCCTCTCACACAAAGAAGCTCGTACTTGACAACATTTAACACACCCTTTGGAAGATTTCGATATATGGTTCTACCATTCGGCATTTCGTCGGCAAGTGAAATTTGGCAGCGCGCCATGGTCACTGAATTTGGGGCACTTGAAGGGGTTGAAATTGTTGTCGATGATATCCTAGTTTGGGGGGAAAACACAACTGAGCATGATGAGCGAGTAGCTAAGTTCCTGGAAAAAGTCAGAGAATCAGGACTTAAACTCAATAGGAAAAAGTCTGTCATTGGCACAGACAAACTTGAATATGTGGGTCATGTGATTTCTGCAGAAGGACTCTCACCAAGTCCAGCGCGTATCCAGTCTGTATTGGAAATGCCAATCCCCACTAACAAACATGAGCTTGAAACCTTTCTCGGCATGATCACATACGTTAGTAAGTTCATTCCCAATCTTTCTGAAATCACTGCGCCGTTGCGACAGCTTACCGAAAAGCAAATAGCTTGGCACTGGGATGAAAAACACACAAAAGCCGTGGAAACACTCAAGCATATTATAACATCAGCACCAGTACTGATGTTATATGATGTGAATAAGCCGGTCAGCTTGGCCACTGATGCATCCAAGCATGGGTTTGGATCTGTATTGATGCAAGATAATAACAGACCAGTGGCATATGCATCGCGTAGTACTAGTCCTGCTGAAAAAAATTACGCGACTATTGAAAAGGAGATGTGCGCCATTCTCTTTGCGTGCCACAAATTCCATGACTATATCTTTGGAAAACAGACAACAGTGATCACAGATCATAAGCCATTGGTAGGAGTGTTCCAAAAGCCATTGCATAAGTTGAGCCCACGATTGCAGCGTATGCGCATGCACCTACTGAGATATGACCTCAGTGTACAATGGCAACCAGGTAACACAATGTTTGTGCCAGATGCGTTAAGCCGCATAATAAATAGCAGAGGCGACAACATCTCAGAGTTTGATGACTCGCGGGAAATCAACATGATTTCAAGACAACTCCCAATTACTGAGTTACGATTGCAGCAATTCCGTGAAGAAACAGCCGCGGACCCCACACTTGCGAAGGTCAAAGGTCACATTATGAATGGCTGGCCTGTTGATAAACACCACTTGACAAGTGATGTTGGCCCATACTACGCAGTCCACAATGAATTAGTGTTCTGTGATGGCATTCTTTTTCTTGGCAACCGGGTTGTAGTTCCGCGAAGCATGCAGAAGGACATGCTTAAGAAAATCCATGAGTCTCACCTAGGGATAGTGAAACTCAAACAGAGAGCACGAGCCATCTTATACTGGCCGGGCATGAATTCGCAAATTGAAGACACGGTAGCCAAGTGTGCTATCTGTCAGTCAAGTAGGAAAACTCAACCTGCTGAACCAATGATACAACATGACATACCTGACAGACCATGGTCTAAACTAGGTGCAGATGTGTTCCACTTAGGAGGAGTGAACTATCTGCTTGTAGTTGACTACTACTCCAAATTTCCAGAAGTACAGGCCTTGCAAGATCTCACAGCCCATTCGGTCATACATGAATTGAAAATTATATTTGCCCGCTCCGGTACACCAGATCTGTTGATTACTGATAATGCAAGCCAATTTGTATGCGAAGACTTCAGAACTTTCCAAAACATGTGGGAGTTCAGGCATGTCACGTCTAGCCCCAGGTACCCACAAAGCAACGGGCAAGCCGAGCGCTGTATTCAAACAGTGAAAACACTCATGAAAAAGGCTAAGGTGTCTGGCAGGGACCCTTATATGGCACTGCTGGAATATCGCAACACACCCCTCGATGGCACAGAGGGTTATGCACCAGCACAATTACTCAATAGTCGCTTGCTCAAAAGCCGACTTCCCACTTCATCGACTCTTCTTCAACCACAAGTAGTCCCACCCATGAAAGCCAAACTCAAAGAGAGACAGACTGTGCAAAAACACTACTATGACGCAAAATGTAGTAAGCCAAAGCGCACACTACACACTGGGGAACAAGTTAGATTCCAATATCCGCACAGCCAATGGGTGTTAGGGAAGGTGACAGAAAAACATGATAACCCTAGAAGCTATATGGTTGCGACACCAACTGGACAGGTGTATAGAAGAAATAGGCGTCACATTGTTCACTCCAAAGAACATGCTGACATTGAAGGGAATTCATTGTCTCAGCCCAACCTAGTCTCTCCTAGCACACAGAATGAAAATATCCATCTGACTGCAGAACCTGAAGAACCAAGTGAGACAAAACAACATAGTGTAAAATATGATAGCGTGACTGTAGGTCAGACTACTACTACTAGAAGTGGCAGGGTAGTAAGACCAACTCAAAAACTTGACCTGTAAGCTGAAGTTGTGCACCAAATTGCATGGACAGTAAATAACAGATTTGTGGCTTTTTCAAGATGGTCTAAATTCATGTACAAACGCTTGTGCTTTTTTCAAATTTGCTTTATTTGCTTTATTCAAACACCTTCCATAGTTCTCTAATCCTCCCTTTTGTAAATCACATTTTGCAGTATTCCCTTATAAAGTTCAGTAACACTTTGCTCAAGCTTATTGTTTGTTTCCTACATGTACATGTAAGTTCCCAAAGTTCAACTTGTTTAATGTTTACTTAATTTGTATGGGGGAGATGTGATGTACTTCTAAAACTGAACACCGCCCTCTGTTGGTTACATTAAAGTTGACCTTTCGGGGTTCACCAGCTTGTTCTGAAATGATCGTGTCTTGTGTGAAGTTACTCTAGTTAACTAGACATTTGTGGCTGCTCGTCAGCGAATAACTTTACATGGTGTCCGCCACAAGTGGCGCTCATGGCGCTGCACTGCATAGCAACCAAAAAAACCAATAAGAATAGAGAAGCACCTGGTTGACTTGACCCTCTACCCGTCACGATGCATCGTCACGCTAACAATACGGCATCGTCAAGCAAACAAGCAGAAACAAAAGTCATCCAAATGCTTCCCTATGCAGATACATGTAGGATTTTAAACTTTTCTTGAATGTACGAAGTGAATTTGAAAGTCTAACAGTTTCAGGTAGGGAATTAGCTGGAGAAAGTGATTTTTTTTTTAAATCAGTGATTAAAAGAAATCATCCATAGTGATTTAAATCAAACAACCAGAGTGCATGTACATGTGTACTCAATATGAAATAGTTTTTAATACAACATTCCTGCCAACATTAAGCAAACATGGAAGACATTTGCGATGGCCATTAATTCAAAACATCCCTTGGTGAACGGTGACTTGTGACTCATTTCCGAAAACCTGGTCACATTTATTCCGGGGGCAAAAGGTCACGTTCATCAGTCATCGTCAGCTCATGTTATTTCTTGACAGTACATTTGTGTAACTACCGTCTTAGTAAGCTGCTCAGTAAAAATTTAAAAAAATAAAAACCTTGATAACCAACCACCTACACATATTTCAGTTTAACCAAATCATTAGTACATGTACCTAGTATTACACTTAGTATTTTGATAAATTAGTAAAACCATATAGTACGCTTTTGGGAGGTAGAGGCAGTATTACAGGCAGGGCAGTACAGGGTTGAACCCTTTAACGTTCCAGAATCCGCAAAGCTCCTAGGTTTTGCAGTAGTTGTGATGGATTCAGTCTGAATGGCATCGACACATCGCCTTCTCAAGCTTCTCAAGATAGCTAGGGATTCAAATTAAAGAGTTGCCGGCTTCAGAACCCCCCCCAGCAAATGTCAAGAATGTCAATTAAATATTACCCATCACCGATCGTAGGATGGAGCTGGGAGTGCGCGCTCACCTACCTGCCGCCTCGAGGAAGGATCGAAATTGGAAACGGTCGAGGGCAGGATAGTGGAGAGGGAATACGCACAGGAACGCTAGAGGCGCACGGTTCACGGGATTCAAAGGCTTTTCCCCAGCCAGGCATCGCCGTGCTGCCCAGCACTGCCTTACAATAGAGCCTAATGCGAAGCTACCTATATAATTAAGAGGCTCATAGACCAAAACTTACTTATTAGCGGCTAACATTATAATTTAACGAGAGGTCCATCAAATGACATGATTCTGTGTAAATAAATCAATCAGTAATTGAGATCAATGACTGTTTGTGTAGTGTCTGTCCTTGTCCATTTTGGAGGTTGAGAGGCGTGGGTAAGTGCCGCTACGCATATAGGGCGGTATATTTCCATCAAAATGGGCCTGCATTCCCGGTTGCTGGGGGTACTGATCCTAAGCTAGGTTGTCCGGGTAAAGGGCAGATCGGGTCACAGATATTCCCGCCACAATGCTGTATGCGCTTAATTGTCCGAGAGCTTGTTAGGAACACTTCACAAGCTACCCAGGCAGGGCTCGAACCCATTATATCAAGGTGCCTGCTGCTAATTAAATCAGATTCGAGCAGACCCTGGCAAAAGGAGTTCATTTCAGTGGTCAGGTTGTAAAGACGTCTGCACTTGTAAGCAGAAGATCATGGAATGGAGTCCCACCTGAACGCCCCCGATAACACTTAGTATACCACAGTGTTTATATAGTGACGTTGGTGAAGGGCAAAGCCCAATATCAACTTTACATCCCCGTTATGCAAAGCTTCTGCCTACAGTTGTGATTCAAGAATCTGTTTTAAATTTTACAGGAGCTTGATCAAATTCTACCCGTGTTGACCCCTGACTTTAGTGCCCCACCCAGCTCCGGCATCAAGGTGACATGGCTCGGGCATGCGAGCCTCCTGGTTCAATTCGACGGAGTCTCCATCCTGACCGACCCCATCTTCAGTAGCTTCTGCGGGCCGGCTTCCCTAGTGGGCCACCAGCGCTACCGACCGGCGCCCTGCACCGTCGAAGAGCTGCCCGAGATCCACGCCGTGGTCATCAGCCATTCTCACTATGACCACTTGGACCTACCGACGGTGAAGCAGCTCAACAACCGCTTCGGAAGGGACCTGAGATGGTTCGTCCCCATCGGTTTGAAGGACTGGTTCACCGAGACCGTAGAGGAGGTTATCGAGCTGGACTGGTGGCAGGCGAACTGCATCCCGTCCCACAGTAAGGTCGCTTTCACCTTCACCCCAGCCCAACACTGGTCCGGGCGCAACTACTTCGACTGGAACAAGAGTCTGTGGGGGAGCTGGTCTATCATTGGACCCAATCACAGCTTCTTCTTTGCAGGAGACACGGGTTACTGCAAAGCATTCGAGGAGATCGGGCGGAGGTATGGCCCATTTGACTTGGCTGCCATCCCCATCGGAGCTTACAAGCCTAGGTAATGTACAAGTTTTTCATTCCCATTTCATTAAACCTAACCGGCTAGAATCGGTATATATTTTGGCTGGAAAACATGCAGCAACATGCAACACTTGTCAAAATGACAAGCCTGTTCAGAAAAGTGAGACCCATCAGGTCAAAAGTCTCTAGGCCAAACTGCCTCAGAGTCTGTGGTCGCCAACTGCAACATGATAAACCTGTTACATTGTTAAATGAGACTAGCTTTTCAGAATTGGCCGTTTATGGGCTGGTGTTGATGGCTCAATGAAGCAAGGTCCCGCAGACTATTACTCCTGATAATGGACTGTGTTGAATCTGGTAGGGTTAGGGTTAACAGCTGTTCATTCTGTGATCCACAGGTTTTAGAAGTTTCATTTTTTTTTTTCAAAAAATGTTGCCGCAAAGTTTTGGTCATGGATTTTGGACGGACTAGTTTGAAGTTGGATATGTTGGTGGCGCCATTTACACCTCTATTGTAATTCTCGAAAATAGGTCACATACAACCACGGTCAAATCCTGGGACTAAAAAACAAATGGGAGGGCTCAAGCCTTGACGTAAAAAACATATGACATGTAACCATGACTGAATTTCTGAGCTTCACCTTCGCTAAACATTCACAAAACACGAAGTCAGTTATGAATGCAGATTAGAGTTTTAGTGCCCACAACACTCTTTATTTTCCTCAGAGCCGTCTTGGGCCCCCAGCATGTCGACCCGCCCGAAGCCGTGCAGATCCATTTGGACATTCAGGCGAAGCAATCCGTGGGCATCCATTGGGGAACGTTCCAGCTGGGATTGGAGGTAGGTACCAGACCATCGATATGTATGGACTTGGTGCAGGACGAGTAGATGGTGCCTCGTCACCGCTCGCGGCACGTTGCGTGTTCGTATAAGTTTGAGCATGCATGGCACAAAGTAGGCATCATTAATTTCATTATTATGCGCAGAAGTCGTATCGTCTTGGTTTGAGTGCTAGGCATACAGCTGCAATGCGTTCCAGTCGTTCTGCAGTGTAAATTGTAGACCTTTCTTTCCTTTGTTAGGTTTGAGCGCCATTTTGTATGGGTTGCCACAGATCATAGTCATAAATTTAAACTGTGGTTGGCAAATGATTTTGCCTAAAAAGTCAAATATGTAACTTAATAATTATATTTTTTTCTTCACGCAATGTTGACATTCCATAGTATGCCAACCTTTGGCAAAAAAGAGTCTATACGGGCATTTTGCTCTTCCTATCATCAGTAGACTCCAAAAACATTGAGTTTCCACCTTCCAAAACGTTGAGTTTCCATCGGTTCTTCTCAGAACAACACAAACTCACAAAAGGGGATTACTTTCACACGATGCATGTCACCATGATGTCACCATTCTTCATATTTCAAGGACTTTGTGATTGATCCATCATCCATCTCATGTCTTGGCAGGGTTACTTGGCCCCACTTGAGGACCTCAAGATTGCCCTGGATAATGCCCGTCTGACGGACCAGGACTTCTTCACCTTGAAGCACGGGGAGACCAAACTGTTGGCAGAAGAAGAGGATCAAAGAGGAGAGTGAATCCACCTAATGAGATCCCGATAGCCACGTTTTTGGTTATGGCTAAGGACAATGGCGCTCTCATAACGCACAGCCATGGTCAAATGAGACAAAATACTCATTGAGACATGCTCTTTATTGACACATTTGGCTATGGATATGATTATGACTGTGGCTATGTTAATTTGGTGGTGCTCTAATACATGAACAGCTGTAGCAAGATGAGACAAACCTCATTGAGATATGGCCTGACACCGTGACCATTATCGACACTCTCACTTGGCTAATAATGACTATCGCTGTAGTGGGGCGCTTATAATGCAAAACCATATCCAAACTGAAACAACAAAATTATGCATTCAGACACACCCAGAAACACTCCATCATTATGAGCACTTTACCCACTCAGATCCTCCAGGAGTTCTAGTAGGATTTTTAAGACTCAAATATTTTTGTCTTTGGAAAAAAAGCTATGGTTTGCAAATAAAATGCCCGTGGTGCTGTGAAGAAGGTGCCGTGCAGAAATGCCCAGGGTAGGGTTAAAGTTCATTGCAACAGTGATGATATTCTTGAAAATGTACGCATAAGCTCTTTGATTTTTTTACCCTTGTAGGATACTTTTGTCTGAACCCAAAAGGCATTGTTTGCTCTTCATGCATTTTGTTCTTTTCCAATATTAATACCACTCAAAATCCAGAGACGAATGTTCAAAACCTGACCTGTTGAAGTTTCAGCTCAGTGGATATTACACTTTCTATGAAAACAGTAAAAAAGAAAAGAAAAAAAAGAAAGCTGTTGCACAACATTTTGATCAAAGAACATGGTTTTGTCCATAGAGTCTCTGTATTTCCTAAAATCAGTCAATTGACTGAGCGTTGCACATCACCTACATTTCTTGGTTTCACATTGTGTGTAGTGCTGGTATTAATGCAAGTTAGCTTTTTGATAAATGTTTGATAGATTAATTACTTTTGGGATAAGTGCAAATGAACCTATATGCCTTGAAGTCTGAGTTTAAATTACTCTCACTGTGTTTGTTTGATAAACTCGAAAATTCAAATGTGTTGCTAGTCAGAACCAGTTTGAATGTTTACTTGGTTAACCAGTATTTACTTGGTGTGAAGTTTGTGAAACATGTATTTCAAAAATGAGTGTATTGTCTTCACTTTAGACTTAGCACTAGCAAAGGCACACATTTTTACGATACATTTTGTACCTAGTGTGGACATTCCTTTGTTTTCGTGTAAATAAGAAAAACCTGTGAGAAAAATTTGTATTACTCACACTGTCAACACTCTTTCCACCCAATTTTTTTCTATGATTCCCTTGAGTGTTTCTCTTCATTTTGCAACGGATATACCTAATCCAAAAATGCCTCTAAACCTGTTTTCCAGAGAGGGGAAACCTTGTGTGGACGTGGGCAAGTCCACACAACGTCGCTGCTACCTGGTTTATGTGGACCTCTTTTGTTTAGAAGTCCACACAGTGAATGTAAGGCCAGACAATAAAAATTAATTCTGCTTCCGGTTTCCCTACCTACCCTATTCTGACAGCCCCCCCTTTTTTTTTTACGGGAAAAATGAGAAAAAAAAACCCAAACCAGCAATTTCTACCTTTTACCTTTGACACACAGACGCCTCCATATGATCGTGCACAAAAAAACGATGGCCAAAAAAACAAATTCCCTTCCTACCTAGCTATGCTATTTTATAATATCATGTAATCGGAAGCAGAACTATTTTGTTTTGGCCTTTTGCTTGTACACAGAAAAAGTACGCACAAAAATGTCAAACAAACATGGTTTAATTGATCCATTGGTGTTAAAAAAGTCCTGATCCTTGACCAGTCTGGGAAATTCACAGGTTTATGCCTTATTTATCCACACAGCAAGGAACCTGGCTGTATGGTTTGTCCAAACCACTTTTTTAATGGGAATAAATATGTGCTTGGCCTGTTTAAATAACAAGTACGTACATCTACGTTTAAAACCGGTTAGAGGCCTGGTCATTCGGCTTGGGTCGTTATCCACGGCCAGGGCCTAATTTCATAGAGCTGCTTAAGCAGAAAATTTGCTGAAGCACGAAAAACATTGCTTAGTAAAATTAGGTTACCGGCCAAAACTCCATGTGATGTACAATGCTTGTGACTGGTATTTAGCTGTTGTTTACTTAGCATAACAATCGCATGGAGTTTTGGCCGGTAACTAACCTGATTTTATTAAGCAAGACGTTTTTGTGCTTAAGCAAATTTTGTGCTTAAGCAGCTTTATGAAATTGGCCCCAGGCCCCTAGCCGGTTTTAACATACTTTGTTTAAAACCGGCCAGGCCCATATTTATTCCTATTTATAAATACTGTTCAGTCAAAAAGTCAAAACAAGTCAAAAATTCACAAATCTCTTTAACAGTTTTGTTCAACAGTTTACTTAATGTTTATGGTATGTGCCTCTTGCGCGAAGTGCTCAAAAACTTATATTGAAATTATGGCGTGCGATGTGGTGCAGAATGCAGTAATTGTGTTTTTAAAAGCGGCCTGTATTTTATCAGCCATTTAAACCACCCACGTGACGGGCTCATTACCAATAGGAAATTGGTAAACTGTCTCAGGTTTTTATGTATGCATATTATCAGTCAGCATATATCTCACAATTCTCAAAAATTTACACATGTAAATACATCCTGTTCTTGGAATGGATATTATTTTTTTACCCTGACTTTTCCGTACCTTATTACAAAACTATAATTGTGACTTTGTACGTTTTTTATTCTTTTTCTTCGAAGTTAATGTTTTTGATCTTGAAGGAACAACAATTGAAGCAAGTTATTGTGGTAGCTTTAAATTTTGTAAACTTAGATATTAAAGTTACTATTAATTAAACAATCACAGTAACCCTTTCAGTTAAAAAAATACCCCAAAGATAGTCCACCTCCATGTTCTACACCCCTAAATATTACCCGGGTTTTTTACAGGGCCATAAAAATAACATCAGGCATTTGTTTGCATAAATTACTATCTGTTAATATTTGTCACGACAATTGGAAAAGCAAGGTACATGTAGCACATTAACAACTCAACATTTGCATAAGCTTTCGTAGCTTCAAATACTTCACTCTTCCAGTTGTTGTTTTTTTGGCCAGACTATGACAGCTGCCCGCCACTTGTTTGTAACAAAAAAATCTAAAATGACTTGAAGACTGCAGCATTAGCTAAAATACAACCATGATTTTAAAGAAACACTAACAATTCAAATAGAATGAGCAAAAACCTACTTTTCGCAATCGAGAGATTCCAAAAAATGACCAAAAACAAGTGCCAAAACTTAAACAAATCCAAATGCCACAAATGAAACGTGTGTACCATTTTGAAGCATCTACCTGTATTTTATTTTGTTTGAAATATAGTTTATTTCTTATAATGTTCAACATAGCTCTTACTTTCAAGTTAAAAAAGAGAGTTTATTTGAGTATACCGGGCACCACGGTGTTCCGAGCCAGTTTCTGCTAGAGCAATACAAATTGATGAACAATTTGACTTTATAAATTATTGTAGTAACTAACTGATTCATTTTATGAGAATTGAAATTCATTTTTTTTTAATCATAGCTTTTATGAACACTAATGAGTTGTCTAAAATATACATCTACTATGATCCGGTACCTCCACAAACTGCCTAATTTTAACTATTTCTTAGCATTAAAGCCATATTTTTGTGGGATTCAAAAGAGCCCACCTTTTTGATGCTCAATATATGTTACTCATTTAAATATGTACAGAAAAAAAAATCGACAAGAGTTTAAAATGAACCTGTTTTAAAATAGTCCATATTAAAATGTGTGTTTGTGAATGTATATATTTTGTGGAATTTCCAAAATATGCAGTTTGTGAATTGAAAACTGGTTGTAAATGCCAGAACGTTGCTTAAGTTATGGGCAGCTGTGCAATTACAGAATGTTTTCAATTATCTGCCAAAAATGCTGTTTACAGAAAGTTTAATTGTGAAGCTACGCTAATCAATTGCAGCTAAACTATTAAAAATAAACTATGTTGATTCAGTTGCATAATTAAAGCTTGTTCCTGATGATCTGTGTTCAGTTCATTAAGGTAATCCTCATTTGTGCAGGAACTAGATCTGAAGGGGACTCGTACACACATTTCATTTTAGTGTGTGTTTTTCTTGTCAACAATTTTTTTAAAACAGTTCAGTGGAAGTATTCAAAACTTGTCTCGAAAGTGGTATTAAAAAAGTTGCTATCATTCTAAGCCTATACTACGGGGTTGCGGGGGGGGGGGGGTGTAGCTCCCATGGTAGAAAAACATCGGTGGAATAGAAAAACCAAGCCAGCCTGCTATGGTCTCAAAATATATCGTCAGACCCCCTAAAATGACGAGGATATGTTTTGACGCACTTGCATTCAATTTGCGTTGGACAACGCGCGCGCCTTGCAAGCGTTATCTATGGTGACTCTTCGCTCGTACCCCCGCCTCCGCTCGTACCCCCCGCCCTGCAAACAGGACGCTGGTCAGGGCTGACGTCATCTGAGCTCTCACAGCCGCTTACTGCAATAAACAATATAGGGCCGAGTTGGTTGCACGTGTACGATACGCACCATTATTTACGAAAAACAGCCGTTCGTACACCCCAAGAAGCACGCATTTTCCAGCTTAAATCATTAAGCCATTCAGCTTAAAGTAACCCCATCGGAAGGAATAAACGATAAACTTACTTCTGGTATCCAGTCAGGATGCCTATCATCCCTCAAAAAGAGACAATTTTACCCGCAAATTCCAGCAACCATCACCCTCTTTCAGGCACATCGACAGCAAAAAGCGGAGAGAGCGAGCGCGAAAACCTTGACAAGTTGTTACCAAGGACGAGCGCGTAACAACCAAAGATCCCATAGCGCCGTAAGGATCTTCATTTTAATTAACCAAAAGTATAAGATGCCCCCAAAACTATTCAAACAGATTTAAGAATCTATTATGTATATAAAGCCAAATTTCCCTTTTAATATGAAGTACCGGTATAATATTTTCCAAAGCTTGCAAAAGCAGGTACTATATTCTAATGGTTGAGAATGGATACAGTTGTTTACATGGGTGGCATCTGCCCTGCCAGATAATAACATTAAAGTATGGACACAAAAATCAATGAAGTCTAATCCAATGTGTTAAAGGGGAAAATACCCCGTTCTCCCACAGAGCCTAGTCTGATATTTCCACAAATGTAACACTGCCTTTAAATATTGACTAGTGGTTTGAAGTAAGATAAGATAATAGTTGAGACAATCACAAGGAATGTCAGAGAACAGGAGATGAACAATGATAAAGGAGTATTGTTAAAGTCATTGGAGTAGTTTGACTTGATCGAGATTGGCATTGTTGACTATTTAGGAGTAAGGACTCGATTTTGACCTACAAGAAATGCAAACATTAGCCCGTTTTTGTGTGTCATTTTATTTTTGGGAGTATGAATTATTACCATACTTTTCGATTGACTTGCAAGCTGGAAATAATTCCTAGGGGAGCACGTTTTGTGTAAAATTAATATTCACGGGGTCCAAAAACAAAATGATTGTAAATGTGACGTTTTCTGAATGTAATAACAGACCTTGAGTCCTCACTTCTCATTTGGGTTTGTCCGGTAAGTAATGTTTTATAGAAGATCATGACCTTGAATAATTATTAACCTTGTAAAAACGCCCTTTGTGCTGTCTACATGATAATCAGTGACGCCATCGTCACGCGACACACTGCGCGCGCATAAACAAAGGGGATTTCCCGCACCAGTTAAAATTGCGACGCTTCCTTCATTTCCACGGCGAATGCCGAGTAAGAGAGAGAGAGAGAGAGAGTACTTATTTCCAGACACTTACGCGTACTGTACTGCATAATTTTTGTTTAGGTCCGCTTTGGTACCCTGGATCCGCGTAAGATGGAGGACGTTACAAGCTCGGTGTTACGTGATGGATGTTTCGTGAACCCATGGGACACGTGGAGGGAACCATCTTTCGGCACCGGTCTCAAGTTCATGTTCACGCGCAGTGAGAGTAGACTGCCTTCTAAACAGGTAGGATTGGGAGGGGGAAGGTGGCCGGGGGCGGGGGAGGAATAAGGGAGACAGCCTGGGGAGAATTTGAGAGAAACTGACCAGAAAGTTTGTATCCCCGTACATTTTCATTTGACTGCTTTTGCTTCTTGTCGCCAGGCCCATTGATGCGCATGTGCACGTAAAGTTGAATTTAAAATAGGTCCATAATTGACCAGAGGTATATTTCTGGATAATTGAATGTGGTATACTACATGTCACAACTATTTTGTTTCGTGACTATTGAAATTCATGAGTCACCACCCCTACACAATGTTGCCCCAGATATTTCCGTGCCAGTTTAGTGTACATGTACATGTTAAAAGATTTCAGAGGGGATTAGGTTGATAAATTATGTCAATTAAGCTCAAAACTGAAACTGAAAGGAAGGTTAAAGGTTCAAATACATGTACCTTATGATTTAAACAAATTATGCCCTCCCCCTAAATGTACATATACTGAAAAACTGAAACTGAAAGGAAGGTTAAAGGTTCAAATACATGTACCTTATGATTTAAACAAATTATGCCCTCCCCCTAAATGTACATATATTTACTTTGCATACTTATCATGTTGACAAAAAATCCATGCTGATGAAATGTGGGGTTTAAAATGTTAAATTCGGATTTAGTGTCACTAACAAAATAAATTGGTTAACTACAAAAAAGAAGAAGAAATAGCTAGAAGAAGTGATTAAAATCGGTGATTAAAAGAAATCATATAGTGATTTAAATCAAGCAACCAGAGTACATGTACATCAATATGAAATATGTTTTAAACACAACATTCCTACCAACATTAAGCAATTAACATCATTTGGAAGACAATTAATTGTGATGGCCATTAATTCAAAACATCATTTGGTGAACGATGACTCGTGAATCATTTCCGAAAGCTTGGAAACATTTATTCTGGGTGCGAAAGGTAATGTTCAATCATCAATAATTCATCAATCAGCGTCAGCTCATGTTATTTCTTGACAGTACATGTAGTAAGCTGCTTAGTAAAAACTTTAAAAAAAAAATTAAAACCCTGATATAACCGACCACCTACATGCATTTCAATTTAACCAAACGTACGTACGTATCCCTCGTCAAAATAAAACTGGAATAAAACATGTTTGGATCCTGTTGCAAACATGTTTTAAAAAAAAAACATGGTTTGAAACGATTGTATTTGGAACGGCTAAAAACAGGAACAAAACATGATTTGAACAGGCTAAAAACAGAGTACAAGAAAATAGTTTTCAAACAGTTTACTGTTTTCTTGAAAACAGGATCCCTCTTCTAGAAAACAGGATTAAAACATGTTTCATTCCTGTTTTAAGAAAACAGTGTGAATGCATAATTATGTACAACAAACATGTATATACAAAACAGATACAAAACATGTTTTATTCCTGTTGTAAGGATATATCCTTTTTGAAAATTTTAAGGCTTTCTTTAAGAAACAAAATTAAACTGTTTACTCAAAAGAGGTCAAAATATGACATAAAATCTGGCTCAAACATGTATTTCAAAATTCAAATGCAAAATAAACCTGCTATCACGATCATCATATTTTCTGTACAATTGGATCCACCATTTCCAATACTTGTTAGCAAAATTATCAAAAAGATTACTATGTAATACGCAGTGTGTATATCGTACAGGTAAATGAAACTCCTTTAGATTTCCTCTTAAAAGGTCCTAAAAAGGAGAAGTACACCGAATCCAATTAAATAGAGCCTGAAAGAATGCCGTTTTGACTTTGAGCTTCCGGACCCCTCTCGCGACCCGCCTATTGGCATTTTACTGGGTTGGCCTCTTTTTTTTTTGCAACATTGTTGATCAATTATTTCTAACCGCTAATCACAGCAAGAAGCACAATAGACTTTGGAATTTTATCTTGGCATTCCACATGAAAAAAAAAAAAATATATGAGAAATCAAGTGGAGATTGGTAAAACGAACTTACGTACGACCTCTCACATCCGGCATTTTCGTACCGGTCTCTTTGTGATGGTATAAACCATCTGATTTTCAATGTACCAAAAACTATTCAAAATTTTAGATTGTTTACATGTTATAATTTTCGTGTTCACTCAAAGGGGTCCGGAAGCGCGCCACTAGGAAGTCATGTGGTTGCTGAGGCAAAGCGTCTGCCGTTGACAAGGGCGGATCCAGAACACAATTTTTGGGGGGGCCAAAAAAAATTTTGGTCCCCCCCAAAAAGTGGGTCAAAAAAATTACGGCGTGGGGTTCGGGGCCCGCTTAAGGGCCCCGAAAAAATTTTGGATTCTAGATGCTCTGTGGTGCGATCTGAGGCAATTTCTGACCACTTTAACCAATGTTTTTTTGAGGAAAAGATGGTGGTGTACTCATTGCCTGCCTTTATTGCGATGTCACCAAAAAAAAAAAAAATTGGTTTCGTTTTGGGGGGGCCATGGCCCCCTTTGGCCCCCCCCCCTGGATCCGCCCTTGGCCGTTGATCACGTACTTAGAAGCTATAGCAGAGCAGTGAAATTCATGCAACACAAAAAAACATGGCCTTTTGAACGTTGTGTTTCTCAGAAAATATGCACAGCATGATTGAAAAGTTAAATTGTAACGGAAGAAGAAATTCTAAACTTCATGTCAGTGAAAAAAAATCGCCGTCATCGATTCCGAAATGTCAATACTGGTTACTGGTATAGCTGACCTTCAAGTCTGGAAGAAATCGTTCGAAAACTTCCCCAAATCTGTGTATTTATATCAATTTCTAGGAATTTTTCAAAATAGTTATTTCATGAGTACTTGAACACTTAAATCATCTTCAGTATATTCCGAATTTCAGCTTAATCTGTTGTTGCAAACGCTAGTGTTACAATTTGAACCATCTCCATGGACAATTTGCCAATTGCCAACATAAAGTAGCGTGGGACCTCATCAACGAGGTTAGTGGTCGTAAAACTGCAAAAAAAGAGAGGTCAGATTAAAGGGAAAACACAAAATGAAAGACTGGATGCTTGGCACTCTCACTTCCAGCAACTACTTGGAAATCCACCAACAATCACAGATGTAAATGAAATTCCTGACCAAGTGTATGATGAATTTAACATGAGAATAGATGCCTTCGATCACGAGGAATACAATGCCGCAAAGAAGGACATCCTTGAGGGTAAGAGTCCAGGAGAGGATGATATCCCTCCAGAAGTACTCAAAAGGTGTGGTCTGGATGATATCATTCTCAACTTCTGCAATATGCTGAAAGGCAGAAAACCAGATCAGTGGTCACTTCTCAACCTCATAGAAAACAGGTCAGCATGCTTCAATAAAATCTAAGAAAACAGGTTGCTCAGGATAAAACAGAAAAAAACAGCTGGGGCCACAATTACTAGGTTTTTTTTAATCTAAACAGGATAAAAACATGTTTTTATGCTGTTTTATAATACAAAAACAAAATAAAAACATGTTTGAAACAGGTATAAAACAGGAATTTGTTCAGAAATTTCCGCAAGGTATAGTCCCAAGTACTACACTGTATTTTCCCCCTGATTAATTCACAAAATCATATAGTAATTAGGGGCGCTTTTGGGAGGCAGTGGGCGGTACAGGGTTGAATCCTTTAACTTTCCAGAATCCGCAAAGGTCCTAGATTTTGCAGGAGTTTGATGGATTCAGTCTGAATGGCAAAGTTCTCATCGCTTCTCAAGCATACGCTTATTGTACGTTCTGCTTGTAGTGAGAGACGATGGAAGTCAGTGTTTTATTTTAACCACATGCGGATTGCGCATTTGAAGAAATTCACAAGATAGTAAGGGATTCAAATTAAAGAGTTGCCGGCTTCAGAAAAAAAAACCCCAGCAAAAGTCAAGAAGGTAAATTTAATATTACCCATCACCGATCGTAGGACGGAGCTGGGAGTGCGCGCTCACCTACCTGCCGCCTCGAGGAAGGATCGAAATTGAAAACGGTCGAGGGCAGGATAGTGGAGAGGCAATACGCACAGGAACGCTAGAGGCGCACGGTTCACGGGATTCAAAGGCTTTTCCCCAGCCAGGCATCGCCGTGCTGCCCAGCACTGCCTTACAATAGAGCCTAATGCGAAGCTACCTATATAATTAAGAGGCTCATAGACCAAAACTTACTTATTAGCGGCTAACATTATAATTTAACGAGAGGTCCATCAAATGACATGATTCTGTGTAAATAAATCAATCAGTAATTGAGATCAATGACTGTTTGTGTAGTGTCTGTCCTTGTCCATCTTGGAGGTTGAGAGGCGTGGGTAAGTGCCGCTACGCATATAGGGCGGTATATTTCCATCAAAATGGGCCTGCATTCCCGGTTGCTGGGGGTACTGATCCTAAACTAGGTTGTCCGGGTAAAGGGACTACAGATCGGGTCACAGATATTCCCGCCACAATGCTGTATGCGCTGAATTGTCCGAGAGCTTGTTAGGAACACTTCACAAGCTACCCAGGCAGGGCTCGAACCCATTATCTCAAGATGCCTGCTGCTAATTAAATCAGATTCGAGCAGACCCTGGCAAAAGGAGTTCAGTTCAGTGGTCAGGTGGTAAAGACGTCTGCACTTGTAAGCAGAAGATCATGGGATGGAGTCCCACCTGAACGCCCCCGATAACACTTAGTATACCACAGTGTTTATATAGTGACGTTGGTGAAGGGCAAAACCCAATATCAACTTTACATCTTCGTTATGCAAAGCTTCTGCCTACAGTTGTGATTCAAGAATCTGTTTTAAATCTTACAGGAGCTTGATCAAATTCTACCCGTGTTGACCCCTGACTTTAGTGCCCCACCCAACTCCGGCATCAAGGTGACATGGCTCGGGCATGCGAGCCTCCTGGTTCAATTCGACGGAGTCTCCATCCTGACCGACCCCATCTTCAGTAGCTTCTGCGGGCCGGCTTCCCTAGTGGGCTACAAACGCTACCGGCCGGCGCCCTGCACCGTCCAAGAGCTGCCCAAGATCCACGCCGTCGTCATCAGCAATTCTCACTACGACAACTTGGACCTGCCGACGGTGGAGCAGCTCAACAATCGCTTCGGAAGGAACCTGAGATGGTTCGTCCCCCTCGGCATGAAGGACTGGTTCACCAAGACTGGCGTGGAGGACGTTATCGAGCTGGACTGGTGGCAGGAGAACAACATCCCATCCCACAGTGAGGTCACTTTCGCCTTCACCCCAGCCCAATACTGGTCCATGCGCAACTACATCGACAGGAACAAGAGTCTGTGGGGGAGCTGGTCTATCATCGGACCCTATCACAGCTTCTTCTTTGCAGGAGACACGGGCTACTGCAAAGCATTCAAGGATATCGGGCGGAGGTACGGCCCATTTGACTTGGCTGCCATCCCCATCGGAGCTTACAAGCCAAGGTAATGTACAAGTTTTCATTCCCATATCTTTTAGCCTAACCCGCTTGGGTACGGTATTTTGGCTGGAAAACCTGCAACATGCAACCCTTGTCAAAATGACAAGCCTGCCCAGTGTAGCAAGATCCATCAGTTTAAAAATCTCAAGGCCAGACTGCCTCAGAGTCTGCGGTCGCCAACCGCAAGATGATAAACCTGTTAATACATTGTTCAATATGTGGCTAGCTCTCGTTGTTTTAGAATTGAAAGTTTATACGCTGATGTTGATGGCACAATGCAGCAAGGTCCCACAGACTTACTCCCGATGGACTGTGTTGAGTCTGGCAGGTTATGGCTATGAGCTGTATATTGGGCAATCCACAGTTGCCATTTCTGAGGTTTGCAGCATTGCTAGGACTGGCCATGTCAGACAAACAGGTTTAAGGCTGCTGACTGGCATTCTTAAGACATTGACTAATTGGGAGACGACCAACAAAATCATGACAGGGGGCTGTGTAGTTCAGTTGGCAGAGTGCTGCTTGAGTGCTTAGACGATCTCAGGTTGAAATCCTGCTCAAGCCAGAATTTGATGACCTCATAAGTTCATATTCAACTGAACCTAGACAGTTTCACTTTCTGGTCTGTTTGAAAGTTTCGATTCCAAGTAAAGTCTTCTATGGTCATAAATAAATACGAAACAAGTTGCAGTGTTAAGTAAACATTTGGTAATTTTTTCAGATTCATTTTTAAAACATCTATTCAGGGTAGATATAGATTTAAGGAATTGGATCTGTACAAAATGTATATGTCTTGAGAAGGCTGTAAAAAAGAAAGAAAGAAAGAAGATATTGCACTCTGAACACTTTTTGAACTGAGAGTTTTGGTTATTATATTTCCCTTAATACCAGGGATGTAAGTGAGTCCATCACAAGTCCCTGCAAGTCTATCACAAAGTCCTCCGGCCTGTCCCAATTTAAATCAATAGCTATTGAAATGAGCTTTCCTTTGTTATTGTTCATCCACTGTTACTTGTGACCGGACTTGTGATGGACTGGTACATGTACATCCCTGCCTTAAACAGATTTGGCCATTCCTTGACGTAAAAAACAATTTCTGAGCTGCACCTTGGCTAAACATTCACAAAACACGAAGTCAATTTGGAATTCAGATAAGAGTTTTAGTGCCCACAACACTCTTTATTTTCCTCAGAGCTTTGTTGAGCCCTCAGCATGTCGACCCGCCCGAAGCCGTGCAGATCCATTCGGACATTCAGGCCAGGCAATCCGTGGGCATCCACTGGGGAACGTTCCAGCTGGGAAAGGAGGTAGGTACCAGACCACCGATGTGTATTGACTTGGTGCAGGACGAGTAGATGGTGACTTGTCACCGCTTGCAGGAGCTTTTTGGAAGGGACACGTTGCGTGTGTGTATAAGTTTGAGCATGCATGCCACAAAGTAGGCATCATTAATTTCATAATTATGCGCAGAAGTCGTATCGTCTTGGTTTGAGTGCTAGGCATACAGCCGCAACGCGTTCCAGTCGCTCTCTAAGGACAGTGTAAATTGTAGACCTTTCCTTCCTTTGTTATAGATTTGAGCGCCATTTTGTATGGGTTGCCACAGAGTCATAAATTTAAACTGTGGTTGGCAAAAGATTTGGCCTAAAAAGTCAATAATGTACCTTAACAATTATACTTTTTTCTTCACGCAGTGTTGACATTCCATAGTATGCCAACCTTTGGCAAAAAAGAGTCTATATGGGGAGTTTGCTCTTCCAATCATCAGAAGACTCCAAAAACATTGAGTTTCCACCTTCCAAAACGTTGAGTTTCCACCGGTTCTTCTCAGAACAACACAAACTCACAAAAGGGCATTACTTTCACACGATGCATGTCATCATGACGTCACCATTCTTCATATTTCAAGGACTTTGTGATTGATCCGTCATCCATCTCATGTCTTGGCAGGGTTACTTGGCCCCACTTGAGGACCTCAAGATTGCCCTGGATAAGGTCCGTCTGACGGACCAGGACTTCTTCACCCTGAAGCACGGGGAGACCAGACTATTGGCAGAAGAAGAGGATCAAAGAGGAGAGTGAATCCACCTGATGAGATCCCGATAGCTACGTTTTTGGTTATGGCTAAGGACAATGGCGCTCTCATAACGCACAGCCATGGTCAAATGAGACAAAATACTCATTGAGACATGGTCTTTATTGACACATTTGGCTATCGATATGATTATGACTGTGGCTATGTTAATTTGGTGGTGCTGTAATACATGAACAGCCGTAGCAAGATGAGACAAACCTCATTGAGATATGGCCTGACACCGTGACCATTATCGACACTCTCACTTGGCTAATGACTACTGCTGTAGTGGGGCTCTTATAATGCAAGACCATATCTAAACTGACACAAAAATAAGGCATTGAGACACACACAGAAACACTCTATCATTATGAGCACATAATCCGCTCAGATCCTTCAGGAGTTTTAGTAAGATTTTTAAGAAATTCACAGGTTTTTGCTATGTTTGTCCATACAGCAAGGAAGCTGGCTGTATAGTTTGTCTAAACCAGTTTTTCTAACGGGAATAAAGTGACTTGGCCTATTTTAAACAAGTTCGAAATAGGTTAGTGGCCTGGTCATTCGGCTTGGGTCATTATCCGCGGCCAGGCCCCTAGCCGGTTAAACCGGCCGGACCCATATTTATTCCTATTTATAAATACTGTTCCGTCAAAAAGTCAATAATTCACAAATCGCTAATGATTTTGTTCAACAGTTTACTTAATGTTTATGAAACGCCCCTCTTGTCATGTCTATGGCATGTGCCTCTTGCGCGAAGTGCTCAAAATCTCCTTACATGGAAATTATCGAGTGCGGTGTGGTGCAAAATGCAGTAATTGTGTTGAAAAGCGGCTGGTATTTTATCAGCCGTTTAAAACCACCCACATGACGGGCCCTTGAATAATAGGAATGGGTAAACTGTCTCAGTTATTTACAAATATATTTTATCAGTCAGCATATACCCCACAATTCTCAAAAAATGTATAAACACATCCTGTTCTTGGAATGGAAATTTTCGTTTACCCTGACTTTTCCGCACCTCATTACAAAACTACAATGGTGACTTTGTACGTTTTGAATTTTTTCTTCAAAATGTTGTTTTGAATCTTGAAATAAAACAACAACAATTACAACACGTTATTGCGGTAGCTTTACATTTTGTAAAATTTGACAAGCTATGTTTGATTAAACTGCTTATGTTTATGGTCGAGAATAAGCTTATGTGGCCTCTCTGGACTCCCATATTATTTGCACTAAGTTTAGTCGGGCACCATTTGCAGTCATCAGCCGACATTTGAAGCAAAAAAATCAGGTAAAAAAACCCAAAAAAGCCGCGTCGCCGCACCACTTTTTGGGCAAGCTCCATACCAGAAACCGGAGACTTTTTTTTGGCCTTAGGTAACACTTAATCAAAACGAATAAAAGTTTGCATAAGCTTTCGTAGCTACAACTACAGGGTGACACTAAACAAGCGGAACCCAAACCCCCCAAAATATATTTCATATTTTAGAAAAGTATGTAGCACCAAACATAATGACTGGAAAGCCATTTTCATAAGTTACTTCTATATGAAAAAAAAATACTGAAATTGCCCAATCCGTTCAAAGAATATCACAATTTAAACGCAATGACCCTAAAACCTGTTTCGTCCAAAAAAAAAAAAAAGCAGTTTATTGTGTAATCCGATTGCTTGGAACTTCAAAGAAAATGACACGGAATACTTGTTTCAACAACAATCAACAACTGTAGTACACAGAATCCTTATTCACAACCATGGTAGGCAAACAATATATGATTTATAAAATCCACTTAAAAAAAGACGTTCCTTCAAAAGGACTTTGTGGAATAATTTTTACTTTTAAACTGAGGTTTAATTGCTGGTGACAATTGTGACGGCGATTCTTGAAATCCGACATTTTTGGACGAAAGAGGTTTTAGGGTCATTGCGTTTAAATGGTGATATTCTTTGAAGGGATTGAGCAATTTCAGTAATTTTTTTTTATCTTAAAGTAGCTTATGAAATTGGCTTTCCAGTCATGACTGTGTTTGGTACTACATATTTTTTTTACATATGAAATATAATTTTGGGGGTTTGGGTTCCGCTTTTTTGACTCGCCCTGTTCTTCACTTTTCCATGTGTTTTTGCCAGACTATACCACGGCTGCCCTGCACTAATTTTGTAACGAAAAAACGACATGAAAATTGAGAAGAGCAGCACTAAAGTATGTTGCAGCATAGAGTAATGCCAGAACTGAAAAAAACTTCCTTTATGACTAGAAGACTGTGCACCACTTTCGATGCTAAAATACAATCAGGATTGTAGAGAAACACTCTGCAAAATGAGATGAACAAAACCCCTTCATTTCGAAGTTGGGCAATTCCACTGATCGGAATTATATACCCCAGTGCCAAAACTTAAACCAAAAAATTAAAATGCTACCAATGAAACATGTATCATTTTTGAAGCATCTATGATGTTACTTTTATTAAACTGACAATTAGTTCATAAGGATACCAAAAATGAGTCTATTTGAGCTCGCCAGGCACCATGGTGTTTCGAGCCGTTTTCTACTAGAGCAAAACAATTGGATGAATAATTTCTCTTCATAGGCCTAACTTATTTTGGTAATTAACTGATTAATTTGAAATCCACTTGATGATTATAACTTTTATGAACACTGTTGAGTTGTCTGAAATGTCCATCTATGTCAGGTACCGCCATGGAACTTCCCAATTCTAACTATTTCTTAGCATAAAAACCACGTGTTTTAGTGATTGAAACGTAACCATCATTTTGATGCTCTAGATTTTACTCATTTAAATATGTGCAGAAAACTCTAAAAATCGACATGAGTTTCAGATGAACCTGTTTTGAAATAAGTCCTTATGAAGATGTATGTTTTTGAATGTGAATATTTTGTGCAATTGATTCTATTTCTGCAATTTGTGAATTGAAAACTCATTGTTAATGTCAGACCAATGCTTTCGCTATGGGTAGCTGTGCAATTAGAGAATGTTTTTAATTATCTGCTAAAAATGCTGTGCAGAAACTTTAATTGTGAAGCAATGCTAATCAATTGCAGAAAAACTATTTAAAATAAACTATGTGCCTTCAGTTGCCGAATTAAAGCATATTCCTGATGTGAATAGATCTGTGTACGTTTTTATTACGGTAACCCTCATTTGTGCAGGAACTAGATCTGAAGTGGACTCGTACATTTCAGTGTCTTTTTCTTGTCAACAGTAGTTTAAACAGCTCAGTGGAAGTATTCAAAACCTAATTGTCTTGAAAGTGTCATTAAAAGTTGCTAGAATTATAATTGCTCATCTCTCTTTTCGTATGCACGCATGCGGCGTAGGTACGGGGGGTGGGGGTGGGGGGTTGGGGGTTGTAGCTACGGGGGGTGGGGGGGGGGGGTGCACCCCCATGAAAAATCGCCCCCAACTGGAAATTTGGCAACCGGAAACAAGTACATGCCTTTAAATCACCATTATTAGCGGGTTGTTCATAATTCAGGTTTGACACATTTTGTTTCTGAAACCCTGCCGTTTTTCGCGATTGGCTGTCTTATAATGTCGGTGGAAATAGCGCCGCCTATTGTCTGAAATTGACCATGATTTCGGTTTTGAACAGCGCCCCATGGGAAAATGTTGTCCAGCCCCCCCCCCCCCAGCCGCCAGCACACTTTTTGATTTTTACGGAGGCCTGGTGTCTGGTCAAAAAAACCTGTCTACCTTTTCGCACGGATTAAATTGGGCGCCCCTCCACTGTAACATCCAGTCCAGAATGATTGATAAATTGGGTAAATAGGGCCGGTTGGGAGGGGGTCATGCAGATTGGTACTTGTTCTACCCCCGAAGACAGACTCACAAAGGGAGAACAACAGATCCTTTCAGTCCTCGGGAGTTGGGTCTTTTGTTCAAAACAGTCATCTGTAATAGGTTTATATGCCTAGTCCGTGGGAGAGTGTTATATTACAGGGACAAAGGAAAACACAATGCATTGTCCTCGGGAGTATAGTAAAACGAGAGCATTTGTTTATGGTGTAAATCGAGGACACACACACGCATCATCATTGGTGAATCGAGGACAGGAACCAAATCGAGGACGACCAACGAGAGCTGTTGCGAAAAAAGTACCAAACCAAGGAAAAGGGAAGAGGAACAAAATAAAATCCTCGATTTACACCATAAACAAACGTGCTAATGCTGGTGGGGGTGTGGGTGTGTTTGTTTTATGGCACACTGTTGTACTTTCGTAGGCCCTCATTTTTTTTGTTGGCCCCTAAATTTTCCGTAGTCCCGGATTAGATAATCCGGGCCTGCCTATAGGCTATGTTAGAAAGAGAAACTGATCTTTTCCATTCGGCCTTTGGGTTGAAGACTTTTAATGCTAACTGTTGAGAACCAAGTCAATAAGTACATGTATAAATACAATGAAGTAGCAATAATACAATGTTTATAACGCATGCAATTTCCCTGGAAGCCATGTAAAGGCGTCGGATTTGATGTACCGCGGGGTAGGCTAAGAACCAATTTAAATTGTTGGCAAAAGCCGGCATAAAGAGCTATGTCTTTTGAATTGTGTGAAAGTGTGATCTGAATGATAATATGAAAACTATACAGTTATACTTTTATCAAAAAAACGAAAAGAATAAGCTATGCTAAAAGTAATTAATATCACAATTAATATGGATAAGTTTGATGTGTGGATAAAATAAACAGATAAATCAAGAGGGTGCTATACATGTCATCAGTGGGTTACCAGTTGAAAGTTTTTTTTAGGAACAACTTGATGTACACACTGTAACTGGTAACTGAAGCGTCAAGAGTTCTTGTGCTCAGGCGCGGTTCTAGAACCAATATTTTGGGAGGGCTAGCACGGTGGATCCAGAATTTTTTTCCAGGGAGGCGTGCTGAAATGTTGACCGGTTATTTTCCAGACACTAAGGCCTCCGAAAATCAATAGGGGGGGGGGGGGGGGGGGGGGGGGCTCTTGCCATATTTTCAATGTGGAGCGCCAATAATCATCATTCATTCACAATATATTAACTAATGCACCCGGCTATTTCTTCTTTAGGTGGAGACTGTTCGCATGTACATCATAATCCTTCTTTTTGCTAATGCATTTTATTTTTTACGGAATTTATTTTTTTGGGGGGGGGGGGGGGGGCTAGACAAAATTTTTGGGGGGCTACAGCCCCCCTAGCCCCCCCCCCCCCCCCGTAGAACCGCGCCTGCTTGTGCTTATCTCATTCCATTGTATACGTATAGCTCCAATCGTCAGTACAAAGGTCAATTTATATTTTAACACTCGGGTATTCCCAGTGTAAAAAAGAAGAATGCTCTACCGATGACCATATACATCTAGCTGTTTTTGCACTCACCACAAATACTCTTGGAGTTGTTTCTTCATAGCATATCGCATGGTAGCTGAGAAACCTTGAATACTGGCAACCCGTGGTTCAAGAGTAATTAGTTGTGGTTTCACGTGACTTTGGAAAGGTAGGTATTGTGATGATTGTGTAGTACCGTTGCCATTAGACTCGTAAACATTATGGCCCACATAGCCATTATGTGTCGTCATGCACTGTCTGGATTTTCGACAGCCCCGAAGAGACCCATTTACAGTTCCCAAATGTAACAAGCACACGGCTGGTCTTACGTACCTACGTACAAGAGGTTACCCAAGAAATCCCGTTGGCTCAGGAACTGTCATTCCCCAGAGATTAGAGGGGAAAATGGAGCCATTTGCCTGAAATTTCTGTGATAAATACGTTGCGCCATATGAATTATAACCGTCATGTTATGCGCCGACGTTCATGGTCAACGCATGAACGCGTAATGAATGAGGGGACAGTCGCACAATGCACGCGAATTATTTACGACAAAGACGGTTTAGGCCTATAGGGGAAAAATCGGACAGTCCTCTGACGAAAAATAAAAAAAATGAAAGGGAAGTGTACAGCAAGTATTGCTCAGAGGTCATGGTGGGGCGCCCTGCCGCTTTAGCTAGGTAAACGCCCAATTTAATAATGATGTCGTCGTGTTTCAGAGGTCACTGTATAAAAAGATACCCAGTGTTTGCTATCTGGTTCGCGTAAAGCCCGGTTCATACTTCATGCGAAAGCATAAGCGAAGCGAAATTTGTGACGTCAACAATACATTCGAAGCGCGTCTACCATTGTTGACGACATGAATTTCGCTTTCGCGTGAAGTATGAACCGGGCTTAACATGGCGGTTAAAAATACACGCGCGCTCACCACTGATAACTAGCGCCATTATTGGCCGAACACTCCCCAGTTGCACTTACCTTCGGTTCCACTGGTTCCAATGCTATATACGCCGTGTGCAGTACACATGGTTAAGATGAAATGACGTCACACTTAGTACAAACTGGATTTTGCTATTGGAAATTATATAAATGGCAGATCTACATTTTTAAAGATGTCTATGGTTGCCAGGGGGGGGGGGGGGATTTAAATGCCCTTTTTTCAACGGGCTTACCCCCCCCCCAAATAATCTGTAAAGAGTGCCCTTTTTTACGAAGTGCCTTTTTTCTGAACAAGTGCCCTTTTTAAAAAAGAAGCTTGCCCTTTTTTGTGGCATCTGCCGTTTTTGGTGCCTTTTTCAGAATTTCGCACATGCATCGCCCTGAAAAGCACCATATATTGGCCATTTGTGGGTACATAATTGTCGGTTTGGAAGAGCGCCCCCCCCCTTCCCCCGCTTTTTGATTTTACGGAGGCCAAGTGTCCGCAAAAAAACCAAACCTGTCTACATTTCACAACGGATGTGCAAGTGCCCTTTTCAAAAAATGTTACCCCCCCCCAATAAAAATGACCGTGCTATGCCCCTGGTTACAATATTCGTTGCAGAACTCACCCGTACTTATTTCTAGTCACTTACTACTGCACATTTTGTTGTTGTTGTTATAGGTTCGTTTTGGCACCCTGGATCCGCGCAAAGTAGAGGACGTTACGAAGTCGGTGCTCGAACATGGACGTTACAGGAACCCACGTTCATGGGACACATGGAGGCAACCGTCATTTATCACCGCTATCAAGCTCATGTTCACGCGCAGTCAGAATGGACTGCCTTCTAAACAGGTAAGATTTGGGAGTTGGATCGGGATTGGGTTGGGGTTTGGAGGGTTGGTATGGGGGGGGGGATTGTTATTGGAATGTCAGATTTAGGGGTACGTAAATGTACATACCGGCAGCGGCGGCGGAACTGGACTTCCAACTGGCAGGAATACTAAGTCACCAGCGCGGTTCTGCTAAGCGTCTTTCACCACATTTTCGGCAGTAAATTCCAATGGAAACATGGCTGATGGACATACTCAACGTACAAGCCGCGATTTAGCTGTGTTTTTCCGGGCGGTTAATGTGACTAGTTACAGCGGGACATCGGAGAGTATGTTAGTTTTAACTGAACAGCAACCCGATCCCCGCCACTTCAAAACGTCCAACTGATTTTGTCAGTCACATCCTGGTAAGTCACAGGGCCACTCTCATCGACTCGACTATCGCCCATTTACTTGGCCTTATTTTCCACACGATCCTCGCCAATGTGAACCAGTGCATATCGGACAACGGATCCGCGGTTTCCTTGTGTGGTATCTCCCGGAAACTTTCCACATCGTACCCACTGGATCCTCCTAGCTGCCGGAACAAACCCGGTGGAAGGTTATGTTTCCCTGTCTACGGAGCATTACGAAACTTATAGGGACGCGAATGCTGAACACCAATTGTTCCCCTCGTCGGGCTAAAGCACACGACAGCTTTACATTGACATGTCTTCGCTCATTAGGACAGGGACCATGCTCCAGCTTTGTCCCGGGATTCTTCACGCTCCCGCTCCCGTTCCAATTTCCGAATTTGGGTGCGTTCCGGGACTCCGTCGAAATTCTACATTGCTCGGACCACGGGCAACTGCATGCAGGGTAATGCTACCTGGCTATTTAAGAATCCATTCTAGCAGTCCAAATACCTCCGCGGCCGCTGGCATCTAATCAACCTGGTGAGTCACATAACAGCCTGGCACCTCAGATCAACTATGTGAAGATCAATCAGCTTCCCGAAGACCGAGCGAGCCGCTAACGTTTCGCTAAGCATCTCAGGCTCATAACCATGCAGCCGCCACAGATGCGCCTAGCATCTTCCCATACATGCAGCCTGAGGCACAACCTGTCCTACAAGCACATCATGCACCAGGAGATTCGCTTACCTTGCGCCTAGCATCTCAGGCTCAGCCCCACAGATGCACCTATAGCTCCTTCCCAGGCTGAATCACGACCGGTCCTACAAGCACCTCTATAGCTGCTTTCTTTGCGCCTAGCATCTTATATGCTCATAACCAGCCCCACAGATGCGCCTAGTATCACAGATGCGCCCAGCATCTTCCAAGGCTGAAGCACGGGAATGTCCCACAAGCACCAGGAGACCAGGAGCACCGCCAACGGTGTGCCTAGTATCTCAGGTTTTACATCAAGCCCACCAAACCAGAATCATAATAACACCGAGGGTTCTCTGCCAGGGTGTGGCTCTAACAGAGATCATGCATGTTGGAAAAACATATCCACCTTCAATCATGACTTGTGATCGGTCTGCAGCCAACAGATCCCGTGAGCCATCCTCTTAGGGCATATCTTAGCAGCCTTATTTGATCGTAGCTAGGTTCAGTTACGACATTAACTCCTAGGCTTCACACTGCATGCCCCATCGCCTTGTCTAAGCCCATTCCGGTGCTACTCTGCATTCGTATGTATAAGAGGGACCGTTTTTCTGTAATGGAATGTCCAAAATATGTGGGGATTTGTTTTTTATTCTAATAAGAAAAACTCACCTCCGACACCATTCCACCCAAAAAGGGGGCGAGTTACCGTTATTATTCTGGGACATGCAGTGTGTATGTGAGGTGACGCAATGTTCTGTTGTCAACGGTGCAGTTCATCATTTGTAATTTGTGGATTTTGTTCGTTTGAAGCAACAAACGTGCTCAAAATCTAAAGAAGGATGATGAACAACTAACCTGATGAAGCTTCAGTTCAGCTTCAGCTGTATATTTCGAGAAGAACATCTAGGATCTCGATTTCAAATCAAAAGTGTTTATTTTGTTTGCTGTTGAGCAAAGGCATTCCAGCTGACTTGAGTGCTGGACATGGAAGACATCTGCGATGACTATCTATAATTCAGAACAACCTCAGTGGTGAACGGTGACTCGTGACTCGTTTTTGTTTTTAATCGGGCCGTTAATTCGGACGTACTTTAATAATGAGCTGCTGTTAAAAAATGAATGTGATACATGCGCATCACTAATAATCTGGCATATGTAATGAGTAGCTAACAATAATATTGACAGACAAAACTAGGTATCGCCGCCCTATTTATTGTGGTCGGACTAACGTTACAGATTGCTCAATAGAGATTTAAAGGTAGAGTCCATCATTTGCAGCCATCCGAAAAGTAACTGGCGTAATTATTGTTGAAAAACTAACTTGGTTGAAAGATAGTAAGGAGACTAAACTCCCTGTGAAATTATTCTTTCTGGGAAGCTGTCATTTTGATGTAATCAACGAAAGAAGGCATTTCCAACGGTGATTCTTAAGAAGCACCGTAGGAAAATTTAAATTAGTAGTTCGTTTTGTTATTCAGCGCAGCGCGCACAAGTATTCGAACGACGCACACGCGCGCGCGGTTGTTATAATTCGTCGGATCAGTGCGCGACGTCGCGTATAGTTGCAATTCAAAACAATTCAAAAACATGATTCAGCAACTTTTGATTTGAAATTGAGATCTTAGAATGCTGTTTTTCTCAGAATGTACAGCTGAAGCTTAGCTGAAACTTCATCAGGTTAGTTGCTCAGTATCCTTCATTAGATTTTGAACTTTTTTGTTGCTTCAAACGAACAAAATGCACAAATTACAAATGATGGACTCTACCTTTAAGATTGTGTTTTGAATTTTGCAGGAGCTTGAACGGACGCTTCCTATGAATGTCACTAACGGCACTGTGATCGGTAGCCCGCCCGACTCAGGCATCAAGGTGACATGGTTTGGCCACGCAAGTCTCCTGGTCCAATTCGACGGCGTCTCCATCCTAACCGACCCCATCTTCAGTAGCTTCTGCGGGCCGGCTTCCCTAGTGGGCTACAAGCGCTACCGGCCGGCGCCCTGCACCGTCGAAGAGCTACCCAAGGTCCACGCCGTGGTCATCAGCCATTCTCACTTCGACCACTTGGACCTACCGACGGTGAAGCAGCTCAACCGCAAATTCAAAAGTGACCTGAGGTGGTTCGTCCCCAGCGGCATGAAGAGCTGGTTCACTAGAGCCGGCGTGGAGGACGTCGTTGAGCTGATCTGGTGGGAAGATACCTGTAATTACATCCAGTTAGGCCGAGACACTAGTACGCGGGTCAGGTTCTTCTTCACCCCGGCCCAACACTGGTCCATGCGCAACGGCATTGACACGAACAAGAGCCTGTGGGGAAGCTGGTCTATCTTGGGACCCAATAACAGGTTCTTCTTCGCAGGAGACACGGGCTACTGCAGCAACGTCTTCAAGGAGATTGGGCAGAAGTTCGGCCCATTTGACGTGGCTGCAATCCCCATCGGAGCTTACAAGCCTAAGTAATCTTTATATTGTACCAATGTTTTTTTTTATTACCAATACGTAGGAGATGAATGGGCGATCCGCAGTTGCCATTTCAGAGGTTTGCAGCATTTCTATAGGATTATGACTAGCCCTGGCCATGTCAAACAAACAGGCTTATGGCTTCTGACTGGCACCCTAAAGACATAGATTAATTACGAAGCCACCAACATAGCGGGCTACAGTAGCTCAGTTTGCAGAGTGCTCAGGCGCGGATCCGGAGGGGGGGGGGGGGGTTCAACCCCCCTGCTCTGGCACAGACACAAACAATTATGTAACAAATATGGTAAAAATAAAAAAGGAAATTCTGCGTTTCCGCAACAATCGGAAATAAAACAATCTGACGGGCCTGAACCCCCCTCCAAAAATTCCTGAATCCGCCCCTGGTGCTGCTGGAGTGCTTAAATGATCTCAGGTTGAAATCCTGCTCATCCCAAGCCACTTTCTGTTGCTGAAGTTCGTGACCTCATATTTATTAAAATTGAACCCAGACAGTTTACTCTCTTTCTGCATCGTTTGAAAGATTAAATTCCATTCATTTAGAGTTTTCTGCTTTCATAATTAATATTAAACAAGTTGCAATGCTAAGTAAAGATTTGGCAATTTGTACGGAATTTTTTTTTTCTACACTGTATTACAGAAGGGTCGAAACGGATTTGCTGCATTTGGTTCTGTCATGAAACAAACCATCGAAATAATTTACGTGGAATTCAGATCGGGGTTATAGTGCTTATTTTCAACACTCTATATTTTCCTTAGGGCTTTGTTGAGCCCCCAGCATGTCGACCCATCCGAAGCTGTGCAGATCCATTCGGACATTCAGGCGAGGCATTCCGTGGGCATCCACTGGGGAACATTCGAGCTGGGAAAGGAGGTAGGTACCAGACCACTTATTTATGTAGACTCGGTGCATTAGATGGTGCCTCGACACAATGTAAGAGTTCTTGGTATCCGCTCCGTTCACAAGTACCCCCTCACCGGCAAAGAAAGTATAGTTGGGGGTGACCGACAGACGCCATCTTGCCTGACTGCAATTTTGCCACTGCGTGTACATAGTACAAATCCCCTGGTGTTCATCAGTACGTGCGGCAGGCATAAGGAACGGTGCGCGTCAACCAGCTAAATGTCCCGCCCATGGGACGTCGTTGCTAGGTAAAGGGGCGCCCCCTTTGTTGGCGCACGGAGCCCATAGGGAAACATTGTGTGTGTGTTTAGCTTGAGCCTGCATGACACAAGTAGGCATCATTAATTACATTATGAATATGCACGAATTCGTTTTGTATTGTGAGCACTATAGGCATACAGCTGCTAAGTCGCTCTCTACAGACAGTGGAGACCTTTTGTTTGTCAACATCGAGCGCCATTTAAATCCGGATTTTCCAAAACGAATCACACTTTTCGGTTTCAATTTGGAAAACCGGATATTCGAAACCAACCTTTATAAAAGTTGAGGCTTTCAAGAAACCAACAGGAACTTCCCCCAACTTTGCTGTTTCACTGTTTGTTCGTATAACTGTGAGCTGAATGGTAATTTCCTTTGAAATCGGATGACAATCATTCAATTTGAAAATAAAAAATAGAACCGGGTTTTGAATTTCTCCCATCACTATTCCTGACATCAGCATTCTTTTCGATTAAAAGATTATATTCATTTAAATAATTTCTTACTGGCTCTTGTGTCTTGTCAGCATTACTTGGCCCCACGAGAGGACCTCAAGAAGGCCTTGGAGAAGGCCCGTCTGGACGGCCACAATATCGACTTCTTCACTCTGCAGCATGGCGAGACCATGCTTTTGGCAGACAAGAAGACGGGCAACAGAGAGGGTGGTGGCGAATCCAACTGACAAGACCACGATATACGTTTTTGCCTGTGGCTATGCTTGATGACACTGGCACGCTGATGCACAGTCGTAGCCAGTGATATGAATGATGCTCATCGAGACGCCATAGAAATATCTAAATAAAGTACTGGAGAGGTATAACTTGTTGACACAATAATGTAACATGCTATGGGCAGCTGTGCAATTAGAGAATGTTTTTAATTATCTGCTAAAAAGGCTGCCCAGAAAACCTTTAATTGTGAATACATTTTAAATGGTTGCAGATAAAGGTGCTTGAATTCAATAATTGTTGAAAATCATTAAGCACATCAAAACGTTAAGTCCGGATGTAAATTTCTTTACGGTAACGCTCATGATTGTGTGCAGGAGCTATAGGTCTGAAGTAAACGGAAATTGTAGTGTGTCTATGCTTGTCAGCATTATTTAAACTGGAAATATTCTACAACTTGTTTTTGAGTGTCAATTAAACGTTGCCAGAATCCTAATCGTGAATCTCTGTGTGCGTAGTTTGATTCACCCGGATCCTTAAAAGAACAATAGTTGAAAAAAATAAATAAATAAGGTTCCCCGGTTTCGTTAGGTAGCTGTTTCTTACAGTGGTGCGGGTGTATTAATTATGAAAATCGGAAGCCTTTACCCTTATGATCGATTTAACTCTCTCACGTGACCGGTCACTCTCCTAATGATCATTACTTAGGCATGCGCAATACTACCAATGATTTCGTATTCCATAGAGTCCTAAATTCATACTACACCGGACTGGTTTTTAAAAACTAGTCGGTATATTATCAATCGTTTAAAACCACCCACGTGACGGGCTAGGAATGGGTAAACTGTCTAAGGAATTTGTAAATGTATTTTTCAATGCCTCCTTATTGAGCCCGCCCACTGCGCACGTGGGCAATTAACATGTGTTCCTCTCCAATGCCACACTGCATATTCCAGCCGCGCGCGTCATAGTTTACGAGCGTGCTTGCGATCGGACATTTTGTGCATAATCACGGTTAGCTATGATTGGTCAAAACACCATGGGGCGGGGCTTACTGAATCGGTCAATTCAGTGCAATTAACCTATCGCGGTAGAATCGCGTCAACGCAGCTTGTGAAATATTGTTCAACTACATGGACGCGGAACGCGCACATTCTGAGACAAATAATATACAAATATAACATGGTTTGAGGGTGAACAATCGATATTCGCTCCCCGAGGTATTGGAAGTTGACAAACTTGTTCCCGAGGCGAAACTAGTTTGTCAACTTCCAATACCGAGGGGAGCGAATATCGGCTGTCCACCCGAAATAAACCATGTTATATTTGTTTTATAGGTTTTCCCGGCTATTTTAACACTTGTATCACACGAATTCCCTATATCGATACTTTAATTTCGTCCTCGAACATCGCCAAGCTCAATTCTCAATTTGAATTTCAAAAAGCCACCACTAGATTTCATTCAATGTTCAGTATAATTCAAATTGTAAGCATTCCGATTCGTCCGAAATCTTTGAAATTCGTCTCGTGAAGCAATCGGCGTTGAATTGACAAAGCAAATTCGTTTTTTGTCAAAATTAATAAACAAGGATAAATCGCAACATAAACATACTTATAAAAGGCCTTTTTGCCAAGTCCAATGCTAAGCAAAAATACTAGATTGTGTACCAATAATTTACATGCAGGGCCCCCAGGGAGAACAGATCCTTGACAACTGATGGAGCTACCCTGGTAAAATAACACGAAATAAATAAAATAAATAAATACAAAGACGCATAAAATGGTCTAATTCGAGATGATCCTTGTTTTAAAAGTCGAAAGAAGAACCGCGAAAAAGAAGAAAATATATAGCGGCTTACGTAGTCGTACATTGAAATGCACTTCGCTGCGAGAATACTGCACATTTTAAATAGAATGAAAAGATAAGGGGTACTTCAAAATTATACATGTAATATTGCGATGAAAGTTTCACGAAATGAAAAAAGAAACGATATTACAATTGAAAACAACACTGTTAATAACTTTATACAATGTACATGTACTAGGAAAAACGTTATTCTGTATACACACTAGGGAAATCTAAACACATTAAAAAGCGGTCATGAATACATTCTTGACTATTGTTATATAAAAAAGGTATAAATGTCATAAATATTATATGTAAAATATGTTTTAGAACATCAATATTGAAATACTTTTTTACGTATGAATGTGTAAAGATTAATAAATTAAGATTGCAGTTTAGGCTGAACGTGTTAAATTCGTGACAGCAAAATGCAATACTTCTACGGATGTTTACAATTTATACTAAAATTGCTCCTCATATAAAAAAAACCCCAAACTGTTGAGAACCTTTTTTTCTCGGCAACAATAGAATACTACTGTGAATCCTGCACTCAATGAAAAGCTTGTTAAGGTGCGTGGGCGCACTTAGATGCTGCATATTCAGCTTCATTGGTAATCCGCAGTATGCGTGAAAAATAGCGGGTACCAATAACACTCAGGTCCAAAATCTTGTTCTGAAGCAGGTGCAATAATTCGAACAATCTGGACTGTACACCATTTGTTTTTTTAGTAGACTTGGCGCGCCTTTTTATCTTCAAATTTGGTATCGCCGTTTTCTTTGAAAGAAAATCGCAGCTAGTTAGTTTTTTAGTATGTTGTCTTTTTCATTGAGAACTTTGTTCCTTTTTGTAAAGTGCGTCCTCAGATACCCTTTGGTTGGCAGGTAACTCTTCGGAGCCCTCTGGGTTAATGAAGTCCTCGGAACACTCTGGGGTCGATTCCTCATTGGAATCCATACGGCTAAATACACCCTCGGAGCCCCATGAGTTGGAACCCTCTTTAGGTACGTCGGAACCCTTCGAGGAAGATATATCTTCAGATGCCCTTTTGTTTGATACGTCTTCGTAAGTTTTGTCCTCAGATCCTCTTTGGTTTTGTTCTTTCTTTGATAATGATATTTTGGCCCTGGTTCCTGATGCTGTTTCACTCGGGATTTCCAATGAGGGGTCATCTTCAGTTTCCCTCTGGTTAGGTGGTGCTCCTTCCTCGCTTGCCGGCCTGGAATGTGTTCCAAATGAAGATGGTTCGTCATCCGGAGTCCCTTGATCCATACATGAATTGGAAGAGTCATCCCTACCGATCTCACAATCGCAGTTCAACCCTCGAGTTGCTCCTATCTGACTTGGAAGCTCGTCGGGGACCTCGGAGTCCTCATTTTGGTCGCTCTGAGTTTGAGGTCCGCCTCTCAACCTCCTGGGCTCTCCTGTCAAAGTCTCCAAATCCCCCACGGGCCTCGAACATTCCCCGGCCTCAGCAGGCTCCATCTGTATTATCACCGGAGTCGGCATGTCCTCGGTTGATTTGATTGCGTTGATGAGGTCCTCGTAGTGTGGTGGGAGCTCCAAGTAGTTGCTTGGAGGAGTAGTCCAATCGGGGTTTTCGCCCAGACCAGTGACCACGGGGTTCTCGTACACGGCCTGGTAGTATCCGGGTGGGTCATCGTCTACAGGCGCGTTTGCCTCTGCGTCCGGGGCACTGCCAGCTCTTGCCCGACGCCGGCGCCTTCTCCTGACCCTTGCACGGTCTGGGGAAACGAAAAATCTCAAATTAAACATGGCAGGTGTTCAGGAGTTTCTAAGTGAAAAAGCTCCTCATGGTTGCTCGACTATTTTTTCACGAATCGGGCTCTGTGTTTCTAACTGTGCACGCAGTCAACTAAAGCTTTCTTAACCCAACAATCCCATCCACTCTAAAACCAAGACTTGGGTTTGTTGGAATATGTTAGGATGAGTACTGCACTAGTAAACTGATTATGCTTTACATGGGGTTTGGCATACCACGAAAATGAGTCCGAGAGTTGTTGTGTACACTTTACCATAATGTTGGAAGTGGCCTGAGTGAGGAAGGTTCCTAGCAAATCATTATAGGGGGTGAGGTTTCAATAAAGCACACATGATAAGACGAGATGCCATTGCGTCCCATGACTACACGTACATTGTATACCATTCAGAGATGTTTCAAACTTACAACTTCTCCATCCGTAGCCACAGATGATGGTCCACGTTATCATGGGCATGATGCATACCAGAACCAGAATGGCCACGCTCACAACTGTGTTTAGGAAAGAAAACAGCAACATTTTATTGATCCCGTCCTGCAAGGCACGTATTCATAGCGTGCCAGCGAAGGTTAAGCGAAGGTATATTCACACTATTTGCACGTCGGTAACATCATTCGACGCTTAGGGGCGCTGTCCAACATAATGCATGCTATATACTGTATAGCAATACTTTCAAGGTATCGTTTCGGTTTGCGGTAACACCATGTGGCAATAACTACTGCTTATAAGATATTAGTTCTGAAAAGAACTTGTCCTGCTTATTATCAACTTCGCTAAGTAGTTTTTTGTTCTGATTAGAACAGTCCTGATAAGAACAGTCTCCTGACGATGACTAGAGCAGGCTAGTCGAAACGTTGAGACCAAAGACAATTTCGTTTAGAACTTACAGCAGGACTGTTCTTATCAGAACAAAAAACTACTTAGCAAAGTTGATAATAAGCAGGACAAGTTCTTTTCAGAACTAATATCTTCTAAGCAGTAGTTATTACCACATGGTGTTACCGCAAACCGAAACGATACCGATACCCCACCATGCAAAGCCTCAAATCTTATAATTTCAAGGTATCTTTCCTATAGCTTTATCATTACAATATTTACTTAGATCGTCTTCCTATTTCCCCTCCCCGCTTTGCGACTGCCATTTGTTTTGGAGGGGTGGTATCAGGGGTGCGTGGGGGAGGGTACGTGCCCCCTTGCCCCTCCCCTCGCGACGGCCATGCTAGCACAGGAGCTTTTTATGATGCCCTCAATATGTTTAGTAATTTCGGGCTAAACAAACGCGTAATCTTCCGCTGTTGGGTAGGAATATTTTTTTTATCATAAATAATATCTGGACTTCGTGTTAAACCAATACAGGTCCTTCTCAGAACCACACAAGTCACACAGATAATCATTGACATGGTGTTACCGCAAATCTAGCTCCCATTAATTTACCATGTCGACCATGTACATTTTTATGTAAACCCTAAAATCTCATTCTTACCCGCAGTTTCGCACTTCGGACCGGCGTATCCACCTGGGCATTCACACGTTCCATCCCCAAGACACACCCCGTCGTTCTTGCAGTCGGTCAAGGTAGAATTACCACACACCTCTGGAAAAAGGGCAACAGTGTAAGTATGAAAAGGAGAGAAAAAATTAATGTACAAGGGAGATGCTTAATTTTTTGTTTGTTTAGAATTTTGCAACTATCTCTCTCTCTGATTTGCTGATGGATTGGCAAGGTGCTATAGCTAAACGCTCTTCAATTAAGACACGTTTAGTTCAGCATTGATGTAACCACGAGCATTATGGCAGGTGTGCCGTCCAGTATCAGCACCCTGTGCACCCACTTTTTGTCTTTTAAGACGGCATTTCTTAAGTCGGCACTTTAAACATTTTTCATTCATAGGTATAGAATTGAATTTTAGAACTTTTTAAATTTTTTTTAATTAAAATGCATTGACCATTTCATTTTTAAGTCAGCACGTTAACATAATTTGTCCATCCAGTTATTATTAACTATTCATAAATACCTCAGACAGTTTAGCCATTCCTATTGGTCGAGAGCCCGTCACGTGGCCGGTATTAAACGGATGATAAAGACATGGCTAGCTGGTCTTAAACACTTTTCCAGTGTCACAATAAAATGTGGACTCCTAAAAATCCAGTGCCTCTTATCGTTTAATTGGTTGAACGTTCACAATCCTCACGTAGGCATGCGCAACACTACCAGGGAGTTAGAATTTTATAGTTCTAAATTCAAAACGCAACGCGCCAGGTGCGTTCTGCGCGACATCGCATAGAACATCATACGCGCGCGTCAATCTCCATAAAAGGGTTGTTTTCATCTTACTCGCCAGCTGAACACTCCATTATTTTGCAGGAGGGATGATTCAAAAAGCATAAAGTGAATTTGTTGAAAATCGGGATGTTTTGCACGAATTATATGATTTTTTTTTACCGAAAAGGTATTTATGAATGGGAATAAATATGTACTCCGTCGGTATTTATCACTCTGTTTAATGCCACTTAGAGTCTGGGTGCTGATAATTACCCTCGCCTCCGGCTCGGGTAATTATCAGCACCCAGACTCTAAGTGGTATTAAACAGAGTGATAAAAACCTCCGGAGCACACATTTATTCCCTTATTTAAGAATTTGCTTGATTTTGTTTAATGACTTTCTTGAGTTATTGTTAAGATGATTTCGTATTTGTTTATTAGATGATTTTAACAATTTGTATTTTACACTTAAAGCGCGTTGAGTTTGTATGACTATCAAACAGCTGTGTAACTTGTGAGAATGAATTGGTATTATTTTCATTATGATAACAGACCGAACAGTCTGGACAGGTGTCAACAGATGATTGGGCGTGGTTGTGAAATATAATCATGCGTTCATTTGGTAATAAACTGTGATTGTAAGAGAATATGGGCGCTGTAACGACTTTGTGTTGGGGGGGTGCCGTGTTGGGGGGGGGGTGCCGTGTTGGGGGGGGGGGGTGCCCTGTTGGGGGGTGCCCTGTTGGGGGGGTGCCGTGTTGGGGGGGGGGGTGCCGTGTTGGGGGGGGTGCCGTGTTGGGGGGGTGCCGTGTTGGGGGGGTGCCGTGTTGGGGGGGTGCCGTGTTGGGGGGGTGCCGTGTTGGGGGGGTGCCGTGTGGGGGGGGGGTGCCGTGTTGGGGGGTGCCGTGTTGGAGGGGTGCCGTGTTGGGGGGGTGCCGTGTTGGGGGGGTGCCGTGTTGGGGGGTGCCGTGTTGGGGTGGTGCCGTGTTGGGGGGGTGCCGTGTTGGGGGGGTGCCGTGTTGGGGGGGTGCCGTGTTGGGGGGGTGCCGTGTTTGGGGGGTGCCGTGTTGGGGGGTGCCGTGTTGGGGGGGTGCCGTGTTGGGGGGGTGCCGTGTTGGGGGGGTGCCGTGTTGGGGGGGTGCCGTGTTGGGGGGTGCCGTGTTGGGGGGGTGCCGTGTTGGGGGGGTGCCGTGTTGGGGGGGTGCCGTGTTGGGGGGTGCCGTGTTGGGGGGTGCCGTGTTGGGGGGTGCCGTGTTGGGGGGTGCCGTGTTGGGGGGTGCCGTGTTGGGGGGTGCCGTGTTGGGGGGTGCCGTGTTGGGGGGTGCCGTCTATGCCTACACAAAACTCAGCTTTTAATCTAGCTTTGTTTAAATTCACTGACCCAACTACGGTAAGAACACCCCCCCCCCCCCCCCCCCCCCCCCCCCCCCCCCCGTTTTCGCTGTAAAAATATAGACTGTTTTAAAACTTTATTTTTGGTTTTGAAGCACACTTACCTGGTTCCAAACACAGATAACGTGCAGTTAGGTGTTTCTTAATGTTTAGTTCTGTGTTTTTTTGTCTCAAAATGCCAAAGCATTAGTTTTTATTTAAAAAAAAATAAATAAGATAGTGTGCTGCTTCAACTTTATCCCAAAAGAGGTGTAAAACAGTCAATATTTCAAAGCCAAAAATGCAAAGTTTCCATACATTTGTCTGTGGGTGGCTAATAGAGGCTAACTCTTTGTAATTTAACTCATGTTACCTGTGGCGGATGACTGAGGGTAGAGTAGCAGCAGAAACAGGAAAGCGTTGAGTATCGAGGGTGTACGGCCAATGCACGATAGTGACATCATACAAGTAACGGTATTACCAGTAACTGAGACAGGAATTATGGTGGGTGCCCTAAGCACCTTTGCCTAACAAATTATGAATTTCCGTGTGCTGATTTTCAAGAATACAGGTCAACTCGTACGCGAACCAACTCGTACGCGACCAACTCGTACGCGGGACAATTCGTACGCGAACCGACTCGTACGCGGACCGACTTGTACGCGGACCGACTCGTACGCGGACCAACTCGTACGCGAGTCAACTCGTACGCGTGAGTTTAGACTGTTGGTTTGGCTCACATGGACAGACGAAATTAGGTTCGGTACGGTAGGTCAGCATAATTTTACCTTTTCTGAAAGGTTGAGATTTTCAAATTAAATGTAATTGATTTTTGAATCCGCCAGTGCTACCTACATTCGCGTTTTTTTAAGAAGAATTCTGCGTTTAATTGTTTGTTTGTTTTTTACAAGTTCGCTTGATTGATTGGGAAGTTGTCTTCGCGATAACCAGTATGATTGGTTCACAACATAATACCCCTAATTGATAAAAGATACCAACAAAACCGCTACTATACTAGCGGCAAACATGAAAGCTTTAACACACCCTTGTTACCACGTTTACGAAACAATACCCGAGCGCAACATAACACGTACGCGGCGTCACAATCACACTTCAGTGATTCTAGCTGTTGGCTTTCTGTGGCAGCGGGAAAGCGCACCAGGCATAGGGTGAAGTGGACTCGGGGAAAGCACTGAAGTTAGATAACAGTTTGACATTTTTGAAATCAAGGGGAAAATAATGATAGACACAATGTTTTTTTCATCTTTTTCTAGCTCGTAAAAATAGTTTTCATTTTATCCCGGACCATCGCACCAAATTAATACTGGCCATCATATATTTTGTTATGCTGCAAACAGATTTAACATGGCTCAAAGGATAGAATAAAAAAAAGGAGAGGAAAGACAATGGAGAGGGCAAGGAAGGCTGGGGAAGAACAATAATTAAAAAAAAAAGGAGAGAACAATTACATTGGGGCGGAATGTGCAGGGTTCGACCTCAACTTCTTGCACTAGCCAGCCGGGCTACTGGCCCACGGGCATTTCTACTAGCCCGCATTTTTTTCTTATCTCAGATACAAAATGGCGTATTTTCAAGCGCAATTCTGAGGGAATTTTGTCGGTGTTTTTGATTAACAGATCAGATAATTTAACCCTTTACAATAGTTGATAATTAGACACAAATTAAAGGGGTTTCCTTTTTGAATTTTATGATTTTTTTCTTTCTGTACGTTGATCTTTGCCGTATCCCAATAATTTTTCACTCGCACGCGCGCCGGCCTGGTTAAGGAATAGTTTGACTAGCCCCGGCCGCCGCTGTTTTGACAAGCATTTGGTTAGCGGGTTCACGGGTTCACTCCCAATCACACACAACGGTCACACATTGAACTACGGACTACCCATTCTTCCGTCACACTATTCCCAATTCTTCCCAACCATGCCAACCCAATCCTCGAAACCACTCCTATTTCGGCCCGCGTACGAGTTGGTTCGCGTACGAGTTTTCTTGCGTACGAGTTGGCTCGCGTACGAGTTGGCACGCGTACGAGTTGGTTCGCGTACGAGTTGGCTCGCGTACGAGTTGACCAATCCGCGTACGAGTTGACTCGCGTACGAGTTGGTTCGCGTACGAGTTGACCTGTTTCCATTTTCAACATGGACGCCAGGTTATGGTCTTGTCGCTGGTTGTGTTGTGTGTGTTTACGTGAGGGTTTGAGCATAACCAGCGGCAGCATGCCATTGTTTGACTATCCTCGAGACAACAAAAGGGGTTAAGGCCCACCATGGAATGCATCAGTGCACACACTGAATGCCAACACTACAGATCGTTTTTTCGTTGGATCTCCTTTATGTAGCTTACATGTACGTAATACTCATGGGCGTTGCGAGGGGAGGGGCAAGGGGGTACTTGCCCCCCCCCCCCTGGAAAAGGGGGGGAAAAAAAAGGAAGAAAAAAAAAAAAGAGAAAAAGAAAAGAAAAGAAAAAGAGGCGCGAAGACAAAGTGGTGTAAATTTAATGAGGGGGGGGGGCAAAATGTCCATGCCCCCCTCTAAAACTGCTATATCGAGAATGTGTTGAGAAATACAAGCATTTTTTGGCAAAAATTTGTTTTGCCCCCCTCTAGAAAAAAATTCTGGCGACGCTCATGGTAATACTCTCTAATTTATACCTACTTTTGCCTGAACCGGAATAACCATTCTACTTCTCTAACTGACTTTACTGACTGAATGACTGACTGACTCCCCAACTGACTCCCCGACTGACTAACTGACTCCCCTAGTGACTGACTGACTCCCCTATTGACTGACTGACTCCCCAACTGACTCCCCGACTGACTAACTGACTCCCCTAGTGACTGACTGACTCCCCTATTGACTGACTGACTCCCCAACTGACTCCCCGACTGACTCCCCGACTCCCCTATTGACTGACTGACTTCCCGACTCCCCTAGTGACTGACTGACTAAGTGACTGACTGACCATAACCGACAGGCCATCATCGATGTCGTATAGGATACTTGGTTGGCAGGGTAATTTGGAGACGGATCTGGAATTTCCCCATGTTTTTTCCCCCAATTTTTTTTTTGGCGGGGTTCCATCAGTGGCGTATCCAGAAAGGGGGGGGGGGGCACTTTTCCCCCTGGCGGATTTTTTTGACAAATATTTTTGTGTCAGCAATTATTTCAATAAAATGGTTAGAGAGTTCTGACATTAGTCCCAAATCCCCCCAAAAGAAAAGAAAACCCGCTCAAAAAACATTACAATGCGCCGTGAAAATGGGCAGAATTTGCAGCTAGTATGCATAAAAATGATAAGTTTTGAAGAACGCCCCCATTTGGAAGATGGGTACCAAACCCGCCCGCTTTTTGATTTTACGGAGGCCAAGTGTCCGGAGAAAAAAATATGTCTACATTTCGGCGCGGATGTGCGCCCCCCTACCGGAATCAACAGCTGGATACGCTACTTGTTTCCGCCCATCCCGTTTATCACTAAATCATGCCTTATATTGAATGTTCAAATGTTACTAGTGGATTTCCAAAACGCGACATGCCCATTGGAGAAAATGTGACAATTTGTACGGTTTTGAAACTTTAAAGAAAAAAAATCCCTGTATGTTCTGCTTTATTGTATTCTTAAGTTGTATTTATATAACAGCCGTCGAAATTGTTTTTGGAAATAAAACATAATCGCGTTTTGGAAAAAAACTCCTCGTTTATATATATGTGTACTATTTCCAAAGTACCTGTATTTGTATGTGTTAATGTTCGTCGTCAGTTTCACCAATGATGCACTTTTCCCTTGTGAGTTTTACTTTGCCCAACATTATTTAATACTTTATAATTTTGGCAGAGCTCCAATGGAAACCGGTTTTAATGGGAATGAACAACATTTGCTTTTGCTGCAATTTCAGAAATAAATGGATTTGGAGGATAAGTACGTTATTGCAAATATTGTTAAACTCACTTGTTTCACATCTTGGGCTTGTAGATGCTGGAAAAAAAACACAAGAAAACCAATCACGTTCTCGTAGTCTGGTTCCTGAACCTACTTAAGATGAAACTGAGCAATTTATAGACATAGGGGAATTGTAAGGTAAGAGAATCAGTCTAGCAGGTTTGTAACCCTTCACGGGTATGTAATCAATTGCAAAGAAAATGCGCAATATCTAAATACGAAAAATTAGGAGTAGTTTTTGAAAAAAAACACAGTTTTTTCCCACGCTGGTCGGCCGACCAGCGTTGGAAAAATACGATTTTTCTTAAAAATGTCAGCACACAGGAGCCACGATTTTGCAGGATGCTTTAGACTGTCTTTCCCTAACAATCCAGTGAGATATTGCGTGATAATTTTTATCATTTTGATTTTTTTTGTGCTTGCAAATGTTGTATCTTCCCTTTAAACAGCTTGGGCATACTCTTGGTAAAGTGTAATAAATTGATACTTTGGGGTCCAGCTCGACCAGCAAGTAAGCCTGGGAAGCCTGGTCCCGGCCGGATAGACAATAAACCGCATTCGAATCAGTTTTTTGGTTTATTTTAAATTTGGGTTTATTTCCACTTCTTAGCACATTAATTAACAATGAAAACTGGCATGAAAAGGAATCCAGTATACTGCAAGACGTAAAACATTAACAAATAAATAAATCATTTCTTTGGACAAAATGCATTCTCAAATTAAACCCTTAAGAAGATAAACAATATTACAATAAACCAATAATATAAAAATTAAGTTGTTGCGTACGATTAAGAGTAGGAGTATTACACCATCGGCATGGCTAGAGGCCTAGTTGGGCAATAGAATTATCACATAAATCCCTAGAAATAAACTTTTTCATTAAATGGCCGAAACACTTTGGGTTCGATCGAAAATGCGACGATGGGTATTACACATTATTTACAACATAACTATGGAGGTAACACAAAATGTATACAACTTTGCATCAATATAATGTCAAAAAAAAAATACTCGGTCTCTGGTCAGCGCGCGCGTCGATTTAAATCATGCGCGTCAACCTTTTTTTCTTCTTTAAATTAACACGGAAGGTACAACAGCGCCCTCTATTGCCGCACCTCCTCAAATTTTTGCACCAAGGAGCACCAAGGAATGGGGAAATTGCACCAAGGCAAATGGTAAAGGGCACCAAGGCAAATTATGGAGGACACCAATGTATAATGAAGACACAAAAGAGCAAAATAGTACCCACCTTGTCTGTACAATTCAAGCTTGAAAAAAAAAAGCCACCAAAAAAAAAAAAAAAAAATTGAAATTCCTAAGAGTCATCCAGTAAAAATCCCAAGAATTCCCAAGGCAATGGAGAACATTGTACAAAATGAATTTAACAGAGCACGCAGTGGCCTAAAACTATATAGAATTATGATATTGTAACAACCAAAAATCCCAAGATCTTGGGATAAATTGCAAGAGGTGCCTGCCTAATAGTGTCCTCTTCGCACCTATCTCACTGACTCCCTGACTGTCACTTTTATTTATTTATTCATTTATTATTGGGCGAACAAGATATGAACATTAAAAGCAAACAGACCCGAGGATTTCTCAAAAGCAAAACAAATCACTATTTTTAAGGGATCTCCAGACAACAGGTACAATACAGACATTAAACAAATATACTTACATATACATAAATAGACAAAAAACATTGACATAGGACAATTTTAAAACAACATCCAGTCATTCAACGTATAAAAAATATTAAACAAAAATATATTTATTCATGTACCGGTGTACGCATAAAAAGTCTCAAGTTCAAAATTTCACAAGAGGAGGGTGCCACACAATAAAAATAACTAGATACATGTATATTTAAAAATGCAGAGATAAAATTACATGGATAGACCATTATCTTGATGCGGCCATCTTGATTTCCTCCCACCCAAATCAACGCAACCAAAAACGAGGCCGGAAGGGGAAAAAAACCGGTTACCCTTTGCACAAAAAACATCACCACTCAGCACTGTGAGCTCAGCACTTGTGGGAGGGCAGTGCTATCGTATAGGATTACCCTGTTACGTCAATGAATGGGCTAAATCCGAGTAATTATAGGCATATGAATCAATTGAGTATAATTTTGTGCGCTCTCGAACCATGTTTACTAAGTTTGGCTTGTCTTCAGGGTGACCGTAAGGTAATGGCAAAATTCTGCTAGATGCACTTCAAAAATCTGCTAGATTTAACGAATATCTGCTAAATCACCTATTATTACGCGAAATACATTATAAACATTTATACTCACATGCAAATGTTATGAAAAATGCCCTTCAACTCAACAAAACAAAAATCAATTTTAAATGGTATAAAAAAAGTTATAAAAAACGGTTTCAACAAAACAAAAATCATAAAATTTCCATAACAATTCTGTCAAATCTAGCCGAAATTCGGCTAAAACGGTCACCTTGCTTGCCTTGTCTTGGTTGCAGTTTGCTCTCTAGGCCGGAGCACTCTCGGTCAAATATATGAAGAACAAAATACCAGAGATTTCAATCTTTCTATTGAAACGAAAACAAAAGTGTATGTGTTTACTTGATGTCGCAAATGAAAGTAATCCACAGAGGACATTCTGAGGAGGATCTCTAATTGATTAAACGGAAATTCGACGAGAGATTCGCCAATTGGGCTGCACACCATTCGTTGCAGCCTGCATGAATGTATATAGACTGTGCAGTCAGTACGATTGGGTCGATGAAAGCTCAATGATTGCCTCAGTATCGCAAGCCGAGGCAAACTAATGAATTGGAGAGATTTTCTTGCAGATTTGATTATCCGGAGTGTTAACTGAAATAAAAAAAACACATTGGCAGTCTTTGAAAGATACGCTTATTGACTCACCAAGATTATTGTCTTGTTTTGAATGCTGAATGAGGTTTATTAGGTTTTTGGAGGAATTTGAAGTCAAGAAACCATTTTTCTTGTCCTGATATAATAACTTTCTTGTACATCTTCTATCAATAGTGCAACCGTTTCGACCTTTAATACCGATTTCAGCGCAACCTTTTCGACGTTGTTTTTTCCTGTCGGTCTTTTTCTTTGATTTTTTTTTTTTTAGGGGGGGGGGAGGGTGAGCTACAACTTTAAAGTCCCATTTTTTGTAAAGGTCTATTTGGGAACAGTAGCACGAACAACAAGCACCCCAATGAGCACCATCAAACAAAAATATCAGGATTAAAGAGTAATGGACCTTTTGCGTTTCACAAGAGGCAAATGGTTTGTGTCACCTGGGTGGGCATGAGTAAACATTCTGCGCATTCATTGATACTTCATGTAAATT